CAAGGTAGAATGTAGAACATTTTCTTTATAAACTATGTTATGCCAATTGAGCTAGATGTTCCCCGAGACCATGGTCCCCACAGCCCTCAGCCCAGTAATTCGGTCCCTCAGAGAGTTTGGATGTATCTATAGAGCTTCCATGACCTTGCCTTGGACAAGCTGTGCTGGCTTCCCCAGAATTGCGTATGGTCTTACCCTTCACCAGAGTTACCATTTACCTATTTAAAAAATTCCATAATTTTTGAGGAGTTATTATAGGTAAGCACTATGGGGGATATGATAAGGAAGAGGTTCTACTGGCAAAGTTTATCAGTGAGAAGATGTTAAAACACATGGGAAAGGGATAATATAATGATTAGCACTTTCTAAGGTAAGAAAAATTAGGTTAATAAATCTAAAATCACACAGAAATATAATAATGAAACCCATACAACAGAAATAAAAGACAAATATGAGTCACTTAACTTTCATAAAATATATTTGGTATTCATTCTTATAACATGATTCTTTCTCATTTCTAAAGATTCCAGTGGAATTCTGGAGAGCACATTATTTCTCTTAACATTGAATAAATCTAACTGCAAATGGTATCTAGCTTTTTTTTTCCTTTTTGAAACTGATTTCTGAATCTTAAAATTTGCATTATACCTGTTTGGCTTGGGGTGAGGGGAGAGGGCATACCTGTGTTATGCCTGTCAGTTTCGTGCAAAATTCAGAAAGAACTGGGTGCTCTTGAGGCTGAACATAAGCATGGAACTCAGATTCAATCTCTCCAGTGGATGTGTTCAGCAATACTGATGGAAATTCAACTAAATGAAAGAATCAACTGACACTTAAATATATAATTGCTAATGCTGTAATCACCCTAAATGAAATACATACCACCATCATATAGCACTATTAAACAATCATTGTTTCAGTCAAAGCATATTAAAATGACCAAATAAAACAGTGCGATGTAATAAAATTATGCCAAAGAATAAATCAAAAGGTTGACGCTCTGATCTGAATATATCTACTTAAAAGAAAACTCTTGAATATAATTCCACAATTAAATACAAATAACCAGTGGAACTGGAAACATACTCCTCTTTTGCAAAAGTATTTTTTCAGTATTTACACACGTGAGGTTTTATATGCAATTCTAAAATAATTACAGTGAAACCTGTGAGAGCCGGAATTCCATGGGACTGCCTTGTTTTTCCAGGTGTCCCAAGTTTTCCCCCTTTAACAGGGTGCAGTGTACCACTTTATTATCACTTCTTTTAGTGGAAAATACTTGAATTTTCCTCCTCTGACAAGTTTCTGCCTTACACAGAAGTTCCAGCTTTCGCAGGTTTACCGTATTTTATATGATGACACATTTAGATATTAATGGGTTTTTTTGTTTTGTGTTTTAAGTCAAGTTTTATAATAAACTACCAATTCATAGATCACCCTGTTTTCCTAAACTAACTGTTGACTGGTTTCTATCTAAACATTAAAGTGACTCATCCAGTACTAGCTTTGGTCATTGGCCGTCTGGACTTACTTATTTCCTGGCTATGGTGGCGCTTCCCATCATTCCAGCATGTCGACTCAAAATCAATGACAATTAAGTAGTCAAACAACTGTTCTGCAAAAGATCAAGGTATCCTTATGTTTTATCAGCATAAAAGTGCAAGGCTACAAAATGTAAAGAAACTAAGCACGCTACAGTACTTACTGAATTTGCTTCTTCCTAGATTTCCATTTGCTAGTGCGAATGACTTTCTCCTAATTAATCCAAGCTGCCTAAAAATGTAAACCCGATATGATCAATAAACTAATTCATTCTTTTTGAATAGGCTACCAAACTAATGGCACTATGCATATGGCAAAACTCTCATTAATAATGTATTGTGATTGAGGGGATATTGAACTAGACTTCAAGGGGAAAAAACATGGGTTTTTATCCTAACTTTGCAACCCTCTCTTTTGATTTTTGTAGTCATTTTACCTGCATGGGCTTCAAAGCACGTTATTTGCAAACTTAGGCTAATTCTACCTGCTCCCCTTACTTCACAGTAATATTGAGGAATTTAACTAATGCAGTGAAAAGCGTAAGCCGTTATTTTCGCCTTTGCGTTTTTTCAAGGCTTGCTATGTGTACAGCAATTCTGAGAAGATAAGAGCAACACAGAACATGGTCCCTTCTTGGAGCTTAAAAAATCTGGTGGAAGAAACCAGACATCCATGAAACCACTGCAAGGTAGTTTATGATAAAGGTTTTCCAAAAGCAATACACTGTTAAGGAGGCCACAGAAGGGGAAGAGCTTACTGAGGTCTTAAGTGAAGGTGAGATTAATGACTTTGACTAGGTAGATTTTAACTAGGCAGGTTGCCTCAGGCAGTAGTTTGATGTTAACCCTTTTGTGCCTGGCAGTACACACAGTGACCATGAACTTTTTCAGCCTCTGGGATTTACAGGGAAGCTGCTGTACCACTGACAGTGCATGCTGCCTCAAGGCAGGGGCCTTTATGACTATTTGTGGCATGTGCCACAAATTACTGTTTTTACAGGGTATCGTATGAGGTGACTGAATTTTTGGTAGGAAAAACAGAAATTCTGAAAATCTGTATTTGTTACACATATGTACCTATAAACCCTAGTGGGGACTGTGGGGTATAATTAGTGGTACTTCGTATGTAGCACTAAACACTTAAGGTAGGCTTGTGGGAGAGGGCAAGAAAAAAAAAATCCACACTACATATTAAAAATTCAGATACACTGTGATTCAGCATGCTTCTATTAATGAAAACACACGGTATCAACAAAAAATTCTAAGAGAAAATAACTGGGTCACCAAAGGGTTAAGAAGTATGATGGAAGTGCCAGAGTGCCAGAAGGGAATAGTAGCTAACATTTATTGACTGCTTCCTATGTAGCAGGAACTAAATCTAGATGGATATCATTTAATCCTCAACAACTACGAGGAAGGCACTTTTGCTACCTATATTTTAATGGATGAGAAAATTGACAGAGAGTTTCAGTAATGTACCAAAGGGCAGTTCTGGTACGTGAACCCAGGACTGCCTAAATCTGAAGCCCATGCTATTCACTAGTACATTACACCGCTTCCAATAATCAGAAATGGGAACAGCATTTCCAATAATCAGGAAAAAGTTCACACTGATTCATATTATGATTTAAATGGACAACTACGAAGTAGTGGGATAAACAGCTTGGTGGGTGCAATGGAGCTTGTCGTCACGTCCAGGCGCTTCCCGAGGGCTAGAATGGGGCAGAGACTGGCTACAGGCCACACAGCCGAGAACCCAGTTGGTCTCGGCCTCAGACTCTTTCCGCCCTCGCGCAGAGGGCCTGAGGCTCGAGAGCAAGGTACAGGCAGGGGCCTTTCAGTCCTGGCCAGAAAGGAGGGTCGGAACGCGGGGACTGCAGGGAATGGAAGCTGCCGCCGCGGACGCCAAGGCCGACCGGAAGCGACCCCCTGCCTGGAACCCCCTCACGTACCGCGCCAATTTCTTGGTTGCCATTCCCAACACTCCTAATTCTTCCAAGTCCAACTGCCGCTCGACTCCCACTTCCGGTCCGTTCAAATGCCCCGCGCGGCTGACACGACTGTAGCAGTGGTTCCGCCAGAGAAAAACAAACGAGGCCGCTGAGGCTGCGCCTGCGCTCTCCGCCCAGCTTCCAGTAGGCGTTTTCGGGAGGGTGTGGGGAGTGGTTTTGGGCGGGGAAGCCAATTGGAAACACTCCCCCGCCCCCGCCTTTACCGGCTGGCGAGGGAGCGTTTGGGCCGTTGGAAAGCCGCTTCGAATCTTGGAAGCGGACGGTAAAACTGTTTGGCTTGCTCTGGCACTGTTTTCTCGTCCGCGAAAGGCAAGGATCGTCAGTACCCTCAGTGAACTGTGAAGTGAGGAGCGGATCTGAGGGAGGTTATAAGCTGTCAAAACCCCGACTGCGTCCTCTCAGGAGACTGCTCCGGCCGGGGAATCTGGGCGTCGGGGTTTCCTCAGTCTTAGCCGATCTTTCTCCAAAGCCTCATGGAGCCAGACAGGGGAGGGACGGAGATTTCTGCCAAGAAGGGCAGAAAGAGGAGGCGGGCCCCGAACAGGCTGGTCGAGGCGCCCAAGGCGTTGGGAGCCGGTTGGGATCTGGAGGAGAGGCCGCCTGACGCGAAGGTGAGCAACCGGGAACCCAGCGGGCGGCTCTAGGCGGTTTGGGGTCTCCATCTACGCGGACGCTGGTCCGGCAGGCCCAGCTCACCCACAAATATTTATTGAGATCTTGTGTATGCCAGGAATTATTCTAGCTTCTGGGGACTCTTAATGCACAAAAATACAAAAATCCCTGCCCTCATGAAGCTTATAGCCCAATGGGAGAATACGATGGTCATAGCTACCATTTGTTGAGAGCCAAATATATGTCATTCGTTCCTTCAGTCATTCATCAGACTTCTCTTGTCTACTATATGCCGAGCACTTGGGTACATCAGTGAATAAAACAAAATCACTACCTAGTAGGGCTTATGAGCTAGTGGAGAGATTCAGAAGATAAACAGTAGACGTAAGAAAGTTATATAGTATTTTAAAAGCTGATTAGTACTAACAGACTTTTTTTTGTTAAAATGAAATTCCATTTTTTTGCCTATCAGATTAGCAAAAAAAAAGTTAATGTAAGATGTGTATAGAAATTGACAATCTCATCACTCTTATTTTAAAAACTCAAACTTTTAGAAAAGTTGCAAGAATAGCACACACACACAACCATTTGAAAGTAGTTGTTGACACAGTGTAGCCTCAGATATTTTAGTGTGTATTTCCTACAAACAAGGATGTCCTCCTACAGAACCACAATTGGAGCCATCACAGTCAGAAAGTTAACATTGATATACTATTGGCTACTAATTCCCAGACCCCACTCAAGTTTCTCCAGTTGTTTCCCAGCAATATCCTTTTTAGCACCAGGATCCAATCCATACTCTTGTCATGTCTCTTTCAATCTGAACAGTTCCTCAGTCTTTGCTTGGCATTCGTGAACTTACTGCTTTTTTATCTTCTCCATGGCATTTTAATTTTGTTCTTTCATGACTTTAAATAAACTCTGCAGTCCTAGAGTCCCATCGCAAATAACTTACACATGCGTACAGACAGTGAGCTTACTGCTTTTAAATATTTCTTGGGTAATCAAGTAATCTTGGACCAGTTATTTTGTAGAATGCCCTTCAAGTTAGGTTTGTTTGTTTCCTCATTAGATTCAGGTTATACGTCTTACGCAGGAATATCACAGAAGTGATACTCTCTTCTCTTTCATTTTATCAGGTAGTGCACAGTTTCGATTAGTCCCATTATTGGTGATATTGCCTTTGATTACTTGCACTTGCATTATCTTACTGGCCTTCACAATAACCTCGTGAGGTAGAATTTTTTTATATTTCTTTATAGATGAAGAAGCTCAGTCTTGGAGAGGTTAAGACACTTGTCCAAGATGGTAGAACTTGGTATTTGAACTCAGGTAGTATGACTCTAGGGCTCAAGGTCTTAACCACTATACTCTGCTGCCTCCCAGACCAAAATGAAAATGGTAATTATCTCTGAGTTGTACTATTATAGGTGACTTCTGTTATTTTTTATATACCGTTCTTTTTGTCCGAGTCTTTTATAGTATTTTGCACATATTACTTTAATAGCCAGATATATGTGTGAAACTCTTTTAAGCATGGGGTGGGGGGAGGCAGGCAGGGTCCTCGATGACTCCCCATTGCTCCAGAATACAGTCTGAGTTCATACTTCAGACTCCAGTGACCTATGATTTGGCTCCTACTTCCTTCTACTCTCACATCTCCACTACTCTGCAATTTATGTTCTTAGCTCCAGCCAAAACTAGCTGCTTGTTTGGACACGATGTTCCCTCCAACATGAAAACTCATTGTTCTTAAGGAGTACCCCGAATATTTTCATCTCAGTGAAGCCATCCCCAAGACTCTAACCCTCAAGGCAGTTAGCCTCACTGGTCTCCTGCCTGAGTAGTAACGCTTAACACACTATTGAAATTACCTGTTTCTGCATTCCCACCCACCCCCACCCCCAGACTGGATTCTTTAAAAGCAGGAGTCATGTTTTATTTATCCCACTATCTCTAGCATGTAACTAAGATCTGTAATTCGGGTTCTGTAACAATCTTTATTAAGTATTCTATTATTAATAATGTCATATTACAGGTTGTTGTTTTAGACCTTCATTTTCAATTCGTTAGAACCTCCTTATGTTTGGATATATGTTAAAATAGTGAGAAACTGGAATAATTTAATACTTTGCCTTGCTTTGTTGCTGTTCTTAGTAATCATGGTTTGCTGTGCCCTGATTTATCTTCGTAGAGAGCTCGCTTATCTACCATTTTATTTGCTGAAAACTGTGAAGTAACCCACAGCCAGCTATGTGAATTGCTGAAGTATGCAGTTCTAGGCAAATCGACTGTTCCTAAACCCAGGTATGAGATGAACTTAAATGCTAAGTATAGACCAGAGTTTTCAAACTGGTATAGAGGGCCATATTTGTTTACTGACATTATTTGTTTGCCATGCAGCATGCCCTAGAAAAATTTTTTGTGATAGTTGCTGATAATTACATTTGGGAATTCCTGTGTAAAAATCCAGATTTTTGGCTTCATTGAAAACGATCTGGCAACTGTCCCTGTATTCCCACATGGCATCAATTTGTCAAAACTGAGTTGTAGCCTTCACCTTTAAATGGGACATGTACTCTGCAGTGTCCCACCTGGCCTTCCTTCCCTTAATTACAGTATTTTTCTGCCCTATGTAGGCATTTTGGTTTGTAAGCCCCCAGGGAGGATCCAATAGAAATAACATGATTATACATTAAGACTCCTAATGAATCTTTTTCTTTTACAAATAAAGGGCAAAGAGAGAAATTTGCTATTCTTATATTGTCAAAATCATTATTAAATGTCTTATGAAAATTGTCTTTTTTATATGTACCAATAGAGAGATTTTCAAATGCATACATCTGTGTGGAGGAGGTTATTATGAACTGGCTAGACACCTCAAAAACCTTCGTCTGCACAACAGATACTGCCATTGGTCTGTCAGTTTATCTAAAACTGGCTTTCTTGAAGCCAGCCATGGGACTACCCAACTTAGGAAGGGCAGCAGAGCAGGTTGAGATCTTGGGGATGTGTCTTTGTAAAGTGAATTTAGTCCTGATTTAAAACAAGACTTAAGAGGATAATGAAAGCATTGCATTTCATTTGGTATTTTACTTGATTTGAATGTACTGCGTATTTAGCTCAAGAGCTCTTTATTTGAATTCTGTGCAGTAATAGCAGTCAGTGAGTGATGGTAAATGCCGTTAGCTGTTGCTCACTGTTTTTTTTCATACTCCCCTTCTGTATTTATGTAACTGACTTGAGGATGTCACTCTCAGTTGTGTTGGTTTGATTTTTCAACAGCTGGTGCCAGCTTTTTCACCAAAACCACCTGAACAATGTGGTGGTTTTTGTTCTGCAGGGAATGAGTCAGCTGCACTTTTACAAGTTCTATTTGGAGTTCGGATTTCTCCGAAGGGCATTCAGACACGTAAGTTAAGAAAACTGTGTATTAGAGCTGAGTCAGGTCCTCCCCTCTTGACACTAGTGCATGTGTCTCAGACAGTGTGCTCCTTGGCAACCTGGCTCAGCAAGCAGTAGGTGTTGTAGAAAGCAAAAAGGACGAAGATTCAGAAATTTCATGTTGAGATTAGCTTTGTCTCTGATTTCTTTGGTGATCTGGGCAAAACATTTATTGCCAGATTGCAATCTGTAGTTCCCAGGTTGATACTGTCCTGTTTTATTGGGGCTGAGGTGTTTTGAAAAATGGTAAAATTTAAATAAAATCTGTATTTTTCTGCTTCTCTTGAAAAACATCACAAAACTGGACACACTTAAAACAGGATCTGGATTTATTTTTTTGAGCATATTTATTGAGCACTTCCTATATGCTAGGCACTATATTTATCACACTGCATGCATCATTTTTAATTCTCAACAGTTCTGTAAGGGATAGATACTTTTTTAAATTCCCATTTTACAGAGAAGGAAACTGAATAACTTGCCCAATTACAGTTAGTAAGTGGTGGAACTAGAATTTAAGCCCAGATGAGCCAGAGGCTGGAGCTCTCAATCTCTGCTCTTCTTTGTCATTTGTCCTAAATACCTGACATGGGGTATAATGAAATAATAGATGTGGAAGTGCTTTCAAATATATGAGGGACTTTCCTTGTCTGAATTGCACATTTTGTAATGTTTGTCTTTTTTACAATGTGTAATCAAAGAAGCAGAGAACATTTCTGGAGGTATTGTAAATGTGGCCCTTCCACATCACCAAAACAGTCCTCATTTTACAGAGCCAACAATTAAAGTCCAAACCTTTCATAGCACTGAGCTGACAATAAAGTTCCAACCTTTTATAATGTTTTAACTGTTTTCAAGCATTTTTGTAAAAAAAATTCTGTTGTGTATTTTCAGAAATTCCGCTTGCCTCCTCCATCATCTGATTTTCTAGCCGATATCATTGGACTACAAAAGAAACAAACAAGTGGGGATCTTCCCCGGACAATGGAAGGTATGGCTATGACTGGTTGATGATTTGCTCACTATAAAAGATACTATGGTTATGCTTATAAGTAGGTTTATCTGTCAAGTTTATTGCAATAAGCAACAAAACTCGATTCTAACTAACTGAGGAAGGAAAACTTTTTTAAGGGCAAAATGGGCAGGTACCCAAGGAGGTTAGACAGCAGGAACCAAGCCAGGGTTCATGCTTCAGAAACCATCTGGTTGAGTTAGATAGTTAAGGCTACCGCTAGATATCACTGATTGCTAGACTCTTGTGAACTACTGTGAATAATTTTTAAACTATCACTGGGTCTTTGTATATCTCCTTCAGGGTTCAAAAGCTCACAGGAAGTATGGGTTAAGTGCCCATAACTTGACAAAAAAAGATCTCACTTTTGACTGGTATAATGGATACCCAGTAATACTACTCATAATGAGGAATAGGCAGGGGGTTTAGATGCTGGCCAGCAAAAAGGCAAAGAGCCACAATAGCAGTGTTTTTCAAACTGTGTGTTGCATCCCGTTAACAAATTACCATTAACCTTTTTTTATGGTGAAGGGTGACTAATGGAATATAACTTACCAGAGTTCATTACACATAGTAAGGATAAGTATTGTTCATTGATGCTTTTTTTATGTTGAAAAATAAATAATTGAATGATTGCACAGTAGGTAAAAAAAAACTAATTCTCTGAGGGGACATGAAAACAGTAGTGAGGAGTAATCAGTGATTTCTTCCAATCTCTTACAGAGCTGTGCTTCCTATTATCTATCCTGTGTCTCAGCAGCATGTCATTTCTAACTTCCTACCTTTCCATTATTCTCCTCTCTTTGCAATACATGCCCATATCTGACCTGCAGACCTATTTGATTTGAGTTGCACTGTATTTTAAACATCTTTAAATAAGTTATAGAGTAGTTATTATGAAATTCTAGGCTCAAGTAAAGGCACAGAACTGTGAAAGAAAAGGTATAATCAGGAAAGAGAAATTGGATATTGTTAAAGAATACAGAGTAACAGGGATGATGGGAGTGGTGGGGAAATGAGGATGATAGGGGGTGGTAGAGAGTTGGAGATGATGGGGTGGTGGGGAGTTGGGGATGATGGGGGTGGTGGAGAATTGGAGGAAGTGTAGTGGTGAGAGGTAAGGCTGGAGAGGCAGGTTAAGGCCATGTCCTGTAGTATTTGAATGCTAAGCTAAGGACTTTGGATTTTATCCTGTAGGCAGCGAGGTGCCAGAGAGGTTAATGGCAACTTCTCTAGGATTTCACTTCATCTTCCTATCCTAAATATCAGCATCCTGAAGGCATAGTCCATAGCACTCTGATCTTCAGTTCAGTTTTTCCTTTGGAATATTCATCTGTTCTTCCAAGTTTACCTATCATTCTTCTGTGGATGACTCCCATATCTTAATCTTTAGGTCTGATGTCCCAAATTCCAGGCTTGCTGGACTTAGCTACTTGGCTATTCCACTGTCCTTTCAATCATAACATGGCTAAAAGCATTTTTCTCATCCCTAAATAGCAGGCCTCCTCTTCAAATCCTCTCTTCTGTTAGTACCATTTTTCTCTAAGACCCTAATCTTAAATTTTAAAATTACTTTTTTGGTTTGTTTTCCCATACCCAGTCTGCATGGCTCATTCCCTTTGCTCCTATGAACTTTCCCTGATCACCCTATATAAAATATATGACAGTAACCCTTTTCCTGTCCCAGCACTCCCTGTCTTCCTTTCCCTCCTTTGCTTTTCTTTATATCCCCTACCCCCACCTGATGTGTTATATATTTAGTTGTTGTTCATCTTCTCAATTAGAATTTAAGGTCCATGAGGATTTTGTCAGTTTTGTTCACTGGATGATCTCCAGTGGTTAGAACAATGCTAGGCATAAAATAAGCATAAGTAAGTTTCTTGTTGACTGAACTGAATTATTCTGTCACCATACTCTACCAGTTTTTCTTGTGTAATGTTTCTTTCATATATCCCTTTTCTTCCATCCCTACCACCATCCTAATCCAGACTCAAATAAGCCGCCTCTAATTTCTCTACTCTGCTTCCCACATATCTTTGGGGTTGATATTTCTTAAAATACTGTTTTGATTATGTCACTTTCCTTCTTGTGAACTTTCAGCTGCTCCCCCTTATATACTGAATGGCGGACTAAAGTCCAAATTCTTGAGCCTGGCATACATAATGGTCTGCAATTCACTTTTATCTTTCTCTCTCAACCTTGTTTGCTGCACTGCTCTCCTACACAGACCTTTTTTTCTCCCTCTTTAGTCTGCTCATTTCCATACCAAGTCTGCTTTGTACATTTCTGCCTTACTGGGAATGCCTTCTTTTCTGCTTATGATTCTATGGCTCTTTTAGTTGCAAGAACCAGCTGCTTGTTTGAGCTACCTTAAGCAAGGGGGGATTGTTTTGAAGGATGTATGTGAGCCAGAAAGCCATCAGGAGCCTAAGTGCCTCTAGCGAAGAGCTGTTCTCTCCTCTCATGGCATCTTCTCTGTTTTCCTCTTCTAACTGGTCAATTCTCTTATTTTCTAGTTCAAATTCTGGAAGCAGATAGTCTGATCGGTTTAGCTAATTACATTGTCCCTTCTGAGCATATCTTGACAAGAAATAGCAATCACTAGTCAGTCTATAGATAGGTCCCTCTTGACCCAGGTCCCCACGCCTGCATAACAGGCTGGTGCTGCATGAGTAGATGGCTGAGGATAGAGTAGATTTAGCTAGAATGGGCTGTTGGGAGTGACAAGCACTATAATGGACAGGTCTAATACAGCAGCTATCTGAATTCTATCTTTTCTTGAAGACTTAGCTAATCTTTTTCTCTCTTGAAACATCTCTGACCACCCTAGCTAAAAGTGTAGTCTTCCTCCTTTCCCTTTTATAGCCTTTCTTGTTATAACTCATTTGGAACTTACTCTCTTTGTGGTCTTATAACCGTATTAGATAGCAAGCTCCTTAAAAATGGGGCTGGGTCTTATACATCTTTGGATTTCACTGTGCTTTGCTTTCATAATGTTAAGAGACATGTCCTCTGAGGTTCTTAAACACACATTCTAACTAACATATGCTTAATTGTCCTTCTTGTTTCAGGGTCTTCACCTTTTGCCAGTGTAAGAGCCAGCATCAACCTTCAGAATGACCCCATCATTCAAAAGTTTGGCTTTAATAGAGTGGGCTTGACCAGATGTCTTCTGACAAAGGAAGAAATGAAAACATTTCACTTTCCATTACAAGGTTTGTTTAGCTGTAATCTGATCTTGGTAACAAGGTAAAAATATTTAGCAGTTCATTTAAAAATATTCCTGTTGAAAGTTCATTTTTCTGGCTGCTTTCCAAGTTGTTTTTTCTTGCTTATTCTATTTTCTATTAATGACGACAGTATTTTAAGTACTGTGTTTCTAAAAGTGTGGGATGTATGCCATGACTGGTAAAGAAATGATTTTCGGTTATGTATGAATGTAACATTAAAAAGTATTAACATATTCCTTTTTCAGTTTTCTTTCATTCCTTCTCAGTATAACAAAGAGAAGTCAGTATATCTTTAACACTTTAACACCTCTCCAGTATTTCTAATCCTTCTCCTATATCACCCTTTTTTTTTTTTCCAACGAATAAAGCAGGTCTAGACTCAGAGCCTTGATCAGTTATATAGCAAGAATTTAATACAATTGCTTTGATTTCTTTCTTTCTTTTTTTTTTTTCTTTTTCAGTGCCAGGAAGCCTTAGGCCTATGGCTGGCAATGGGGGGTAGGGCCTTTGTTCAGTGTGGGATACATGGTCCCTACCATGTAAGGTTGCCAGATAAAATATAGGACACACAGTTAAATTTGAATTTTGGATAAACAATAATTCTTTAGCATAAGTATGTCCCAGATGTTACATGGGACACACTTACACTAAAAAAAACATTCATTATTTATCTGTAATGCTTTGATTCTGTTTTTTGTTTTTTTATTGCCTCCTATTTATAGCTAGCAATAAAGGTTTTCCATTTATAGTAGTGATATTAAATTTCCTTTTTTTTAAACAGCTTTATTGAAATATAATTAATATACCATATAATTCACCCAGGGAGTCCTGGTGGCGCAATGGTTAAGTGCTCGGCTGCTAACTGAAAGGTCGGTAATTCGAACCCACCAGCCACTCTGCGGGAGAAAGATGTGACAGTCTGCCTCTGTAAAGATTATGCAGCCTTGGAAACCTTACGAGGGCAGTTCTACTCCGTCCTGTAGGGTTCCTATGAGTCAGAATCCACTCGACGGCAATGGGTTTGGTTTTCTTGGTTTTGTAATTCATCCATTTAAAATGTACAATTCAGTAATTTTTACAATGATCACAGTGTTGTACGGCATCACCACTATCAATTTTAGTACCCTTTCATCAGCCCAGAAGAAATCCCATACCCATTAGCAGTCACTCCCCATTTCTCCCCAACTTCCACAGCCCCTGGCAACCACTAATCTACTTCCTGTCTTTAGATTTACCTGTTCTGGACATTTCATGTAAATATAATATGTGATCTGTTGTGACCAGCTTCTTTCATTGAGCTTGTTTTCAAGGTTCATCCATGTTGTATCTTGTATCAATACTTCATTTATTTTCATTGCCAAATGGTATTCCATGTATGGCTATACCACGTTTTGTTTATCCATGCATCAGTTGATGGACATTTGGGTTGTTTCCACTTTTTGGCTATTATGAGTAATGCTGCTGTGAACATTCATGTACACATTTTTGCGTGGGCATATGTTTTCATTTCTCTTGGTAGATACCTGGGAGTGGAATTGCTGGGTCAAAAAGTTAACCTTTGCTGCTTTGCCTTTGTCTGAAAGTGGGAATCTTCAAAGCTTCAAATGCTTTTGGGCCTTTGAGCTGAATGTGCCTGGATAGAGATTTAGGGTACACAACAGAGGGGTTACCCTAAGCCTATAGCTGAGTCTGTTAGGGAATTTTCAGGCTGTAATTCCAGAAAATGGAGGCAAGTCTCCCTGTCAGGTGTGGATAGGAGACATGGTGAATGCTGCTTAAACTTCCTGCCTACAATGAAATCCTTTTAGATGTCCACTAGAGTGAAATCTCATTCCTACTTTCTCTTGCTTTATTTAGGAAAGAAAGGTGTCACATGTACTCATTTGAATACTTTATTTATCTCCCCTTAGTGCCTACATAGAAAGAGTCCAGTGAATTTGGATTTAGCCACAAATTTAGTTATAATCTCTTTTCTCATAAGGAAGAAAATTTGTTACTTGGTAACTGCCAGGAAGTTCAAGTTCCAGGATTCCCCCATAATAGCATACTACGTTATTCTCTCAGAGTCTAAAAATGAGTGGATGGAGAAGAACTTGGGGGCAGACATTGTCTCTTATTTAATCTTTAAATTTAAATCTATGTCAGATATAGAGAAGGTGCCCAGGAAATGTGATATTTCAGCTTTGCCTGGTTAAATCCAAGAGTGATGTTTGCCAGCTCTAGTTCTACAGGCAAATATTTTATACATTTCTCTTCTAGGTTTTTCTGACTGTGAAAACTTTGTACCTACCAAGTGTAGTGGTTCTGTAATGGACAACAGCCCTCTCTTTGGGCTTGACTGTGAAATGGTAAGTACTACTTTTGGTTTTTCACCTGGAGTGTTGCAGACTCTAGTTAGAAGATCACCTGGGTCAAGTGGAAGATGATTTCTTGAGTCTCATGCACCAATGAACCAGTGCATTCAGTTCTAATATTCAGTTTAAATTGCTGAAATTATACCCTTTTCATCACATTTTAGAAAACTTGGATCTGTGCTCCAAGATGAAGAATAAATCTACACAAGTTTTCTAACTAGTTGATATGTATAATCAAGTCTTTGCACATTACTAGAAGTTTGCTCCTCTGACTTTTGGACAAGTGTTTTGTTGTTGTTAGTGTTGTTGCCTTAGAGCTTTTGCTTCATTTACTATTGGCTTGGCTTCGTTTTTACACATTGAAGATCGAAGGGGGATTTCCCTGCTTATACCCCTCTAGTGTTTTACTTTATCTAATTCTAGTAAGTCTCCTTTCAAAGATAGTACATCCCCTCTCACATAGTACTCAGGAAACAGTTTCTCAATTCATGAGAGTGGTGGCTAAGAGCTCGGGTTTTTGGAGTCTGCCAGGTGTTGTATCCTGGCTTTAAGGAGCCCTGGTGGCACAGAGGTTAAGCACTCACTGCTAGCAGAAAGGTTGGCAGTTCGAACCCACCAGCCGCTCCACGGGAGAAAGATGTGGCACTCTGATCCTGTAAAGAATACAGCCTTGGAAACCCTATGGGACAGTTCTTCTCTTTCCTGCAGGGTTGCTATGAATTGGAATCGATTCGTCGGTAATGAGTTTATCCTGGTTTGGCTTGTTAGTGGCTATGTAACCTTGCACAAATTTCCTAACTTATTACATAAATTTCCTCATAGTGGTTAAGAGCTACAGCTGCTAACCAAAAGGTCAGCAGTTCGAATCCATCAGGCACTCCTTGGAAACCATATGAGGCAGTTCTACTCTGTCCTATAGGGTCGCTATGAGTCAGAATCAGCTCGATGGCAACGGGTTTGGTTTTTTTTGGTTTTCCCCCTTTGTGAAGTGGGGATAATAACAGAGGCTACCTCATAGGGTTATTATGGAGTGTCATATATAAAGTACTTAATGCACTATTAGATAAAAATAGAGTGTGCTTAATAAATGTTACCTATTAGTGGTACTCAACGTAATACTGGGAATGTAGTACATACTCAGTAAGTGGTAGATACTATTCTAAATGCTAGTATTTCCATTCATCTTCCTTGAGCATATCCTTCCCAGAGAAATTTGCTTAAGTGTAACATTCATCAGCCTGCTTAGCTTTAATTTCATTCACAGTGGATCCTTTAGTCAGCAAAAGGCTGTGCCATTGCCTCAGGGACCCCAGGAGCTTAGGGCAGATGGCAGTTGACATAGTCTGAATAACGAGAGGAAGCAGGAGCTTCCACAGGTCAGCAGCCTGACTCATTTTGATGTTTCAGTGCCTCACATCCAAGGGGAGAGAACTAACACGCATCTCACTGGTTGCTGAAGGAGGCTGCTGTGTTATGGATGAACTTGTTAAACCTGACAACGAGATTTTGAACTACCTAACCAGGTATTCTTCACCTCAACTCCAGCTCTTCCTAGAGCTGTCAGACTAGAGTGGGATGAGACTTAACAGGAATAGCTCATAGCTTCTATTTAGTTAGGTATTGTCTACCTGTATATTATCAAAGAAAAGCTGGGCAACAAAGCAGAAAATTTTAATACCAAAATTGCACAGTGTCAATGTATAAAGCTCTTTCCCTTCTTGCTCTCTTGTCTTACGACCTTAAGCTAGGATATTATCTTTCTTGCCATAGAATCTCCTGATTGTAATCATTATCTAGTAACCACCAAACAGCTGGAGCTTTGCCTTCTGGTAAGGCTTCATTTGAAAATCTGCAAATCATTTGGCAGTCCTACCTCAAGAGGCTAATCTGCTTTGACTCCCCACAAGACAAAACAAAACTAAGTTCTCCCATAATAGAAATCTGGGCCTCAAAATCTTAAGTCTATCTTCCCAAAGATTTGTATGTATTTTTAGAATGTACAGACTACACTGATTCATTTTAGGCAAAGAAAAAGCCAGTGAAGCATTGCACCGGTAGATGGCATGCTTACTTAGACACAGAGGCCGTGATAGTGATAGTAGCATGATAGTGATATTAGCAGCCTCAACAATTAGACAGTGTTCTTAGAGAATAGTCATGTGTGGCAGAGATGTATATATAAGCATGTTTGTCACAGTATTGCAAAACTATGAGAACATAAATGTCTGAAAGTAGGGGATTGGAATACTCTATAACCGTTAAAAAGGATGTGCTGAAGTAGATTTATTGATGTGAAAACTTGCTCATGATATGTTGCAAATGACAAAATCATGTTATAAAGCACTTTGTGCATTATGATTACATTTTTACAAAAATGAAATATATAAAATATGGAAGAGTATTTACTAAAATGTAAGAAGTGATGATCCCTGTTTGATGGGATTATGGGTAATTTTAAATTTCCTTTTTGCTTTTTTGTATTTTAACCTTTTCTATAATGAGCATATATGAAATTTAAAAAATTTTTAATATTCTTTTTGAAATGACTTTCCAGGGAGGAAAATATGCTAATATCCTGTTGTGTCCATTTCTCTTTTTTATTGAAAGCTTCTCGGGAATCACCAAGAAGATTCTTAACCCAGTGACGACCAAACTCAAAGATGTACAGAGAAGATTAAAAGCACTGCTTCCTCCTGATGCTGTGTTAGTGGGCCACTCTTTAGACCTGGATCTCAGAGCACTGAAAGTGAGCATTTGATTTAGGACTTAGTTTTTTCTGGTATAAACATTTGCTCTGATTATCTCAAATCTAAAGCCTTGGGCTCCATTCCCTAGCCCACTTGCTTTTTCCTTTAGCATAGGATGTTACTCATTCTATTCTCTTTCCTCCTCAGATGATACATCCATATGTTATTGATACATCATTGCTTTATGTCAGAGAGCAGGGCAGAAGATTTAAGCTAAAGTTCTTAGCCAAAGCTATTTTGGGGTAGGTTTATTTGCATATTATATTGTCCTGACAAATTGCACATACATTAGCATATAGTATCCAATTTAATGCATATTGCAAAATTCAGGATCTCTGTTCTCCCTGTTAGTTTGGAAACATTATTTTGTACGAATCCTGGAAACCTAGCTCCAGAGAGAACTATGACTCAGGGATGAAGAAATTATGGGAATAGAGAAAGGGGTTTGTATTCACAGCCAACGCTTATTGGATAGAACTGGGCAGGGAAGGACCAAAAAGTTAACCAAACATTTCAAAACATAACACGTCTGTATTGAATATATCCTATTATATACAAACACACGCAAAGATGTATATACAAAGATGTTCTTTACAGCATAGTTTAAAATAGCCAAAAAACTGGAAACGTTCTATAGGATTGGTTAAATAAATTATGGTTATCTGTGCTATTGAATAAGGAGCCCTGGTGGTGCAGTGATTAAAGCTCTTAGCCACTAACCAAAAGTCGACAGTTCAAACCCACCAGCCACTCCACAGGAGAAAGATGTGGCAGTCTGCTTCCATAAAGATTACAGCCTTGGAAACCATATGGAGCAGTTCTACTCTGCCCTATAGGGTCGCTATGAGTTGGAATCAACAGGACAGCAACAGGTACTATTGAATACTTTGTTGTTATTCAAAAGAACATGATGAATCTGCATATGGTAATATGGAAACCTCTCTAAGATAATACTGAAAATAAAATGGAGATGCAGAGCAAGATCTGTATGCCTACATATCAAGATGATATAGATTAGAATTAGATATATCAATAACTAACTTAGATATATGTATATTAAGTTTTAAAAAAAAACAACCAAGAAAGGAATTAAGTACATATAGACACTCGTATGCAAATAGAAAATTTCTGGAAGGTAACTTTAAACAATGGTTACAACGTTTAAGGAATGTGACAAGGGGCTGGCTGAGGAGTGGGTCAGAGTCTTTTATTCAATAGCCTTTTGTGGACAAAGCCATTCCTGATCTTCTGCATCCCCAGCACCTCTCTCAGAGCCTGCCACTTAGCTAGAACAAAAGAATCTATATTGTGATGCAAGTCTGAAATTTTACATGTACCCAGAACATTTGAGGTGGTTGAAAGAGCCTATCATTAAAAATGCTCCCAGGTCTGTCAGTTTTATTTTGACTTTCCAGGAAGGACATACAGTGTCCACACAGGATTGGTCATGATGCTACGGAAGATGCTAGGACATCCCTTGAATTGGCTCGCTATTTCCTTAAATATGGCCCAAAGAAGGTTAGTATCTTTGACCAGTATGTTTGCCTTTCTTAAAATTATGGGACCAGAACAGTCACAGACCACCATCTCTTGTTATCGTTCTTTAAAAAAATGGGTATGTGATTTGAGCTGATAATGTATTTGAAATTAAAGCCCGTATCGCTAGCATAATGTAGTAGTTCAGTATGTAGTCTCTGGAGTTGGACCCAGCTGGTTTTAAATAAAGCCTGTATTATTTCTAGCTGTGTGATCTTGGGCAATTTCTCTGAACTTCAGTTTCTAGGTCTATAAAATGGAAACACCCGCTTTAGGGGATACTGATGACGGTAAATAAGATACTGTGTATAAAGCTCTTAGTACAGTGCCTCGAATGTATTAAGCACCCATACTGGTGGTGGTGACCATTGTAACTGATGCTAATAATTGTTAATAATTATAAAAATCTGCATAGATTTCTCCTGTCTTGCAGTAGGGGAAACATGTCTTTGTTTCAACCAGAGTTTAGTGGGTATAGATTAGAACAGCACATTGTGATAAGGTCTGAAAAGGATATAGTTTCTCTCAGACCTTATTACAACACATTCTAACTTATTAGACTATCCCATTGCACAATATCATTCCATCATGACTCCATTATGAAATAAATTGTAGTCCACTTAGAATAATAATCAACAGCCAGAATAGTGTTTTGTGTTGTGGTCCTAGAAAAATGTTCCAAAATATCTCACTGGGCACGTAAATAATAGTAGCCACTGTTTTTTGAGCTCTTACTAAGCGTCCTGTTCTAAAATGCTTTTTATACATTATCTTATTTAATCTTTACAGCAATCCTGTGAGCTAATTATCATCATCCTAATTTTATATGTGAGGGTTCTGAGCTTTTGAAAGGTTAGATCATGTATCTGGGGTCCCACAGCTAGTCAGAGTGGAACCAGGATTCAAACGCAGTTCTGTCAGATTCTAAGACTGTCTTCTAATACTCGACACCAGGGGTCATCAAACTTTTTCTACAAATGCAAGCTAGTAAATAATTTTATGGGCCATACTGTCTCTATCACAACTGCTCAACTTGCAATTGTTGTGGGAAGATAGCCATAGACAGTATGTCAATGAATGGGTGCAGCTGTGTCCTAATAAAACTTTATATACAGAAAACAGGTATTGGGCCTCATTTGCCAACTCCTGCTCTAAATCGCTATATCAGAGGTTCTAACAACATTTTTGTTTTTACCCTCTTAAAAATTGAGGACTTTAAAGAGCTTTTATTTTTGTGGGTGATATCTATCAATAGTTACAGTATTAGAATTTAAATATGGTAAAATTTTAAAATATTTATAAATGGTTAAAAAAATCAATAAAATGTCTATTACATGTGAACATAAATAATATATTTTTATACATTTTTTAAGTAGCAGGGAGAGTATCATTGTTTTATATATTCTGCAAATCTCTGATGTCTATCTTAATTGAAGACAGGTGGCTTCTCACATCTGCCTCTACATTCAATCTATTGTGTTATGTAGTGAAAGAGTCTCTGGAACCCCCAGGGGTCCTAGAACCACTTTGAAATCCACTACATTATATTATGCTTTCACTTGATTTCTAGGGAAATTTGTGTCTCACTTGAGTAAAACCTAAGGATATCTGAATGAAGTATGGGCTTTAGTTAATGCTAATTTATATTATTGGCTGATTAGTTGTGACAAATGCACCATACTAATGTAAGGTGTTAATAATAGGTGGAAATTAGGTATAGGATATATGGGAACTCTCTATACTATCTTTATAATTTTTCTGTAAATCTAAATTCTAAAATAAAAAGCTTATTTAAACAATTGTATCTCAATCTCTGCATCACAACTCCCAGGTGGCCTCCCACTTTATGGAAGAAGAATAAACATCAACTAGAAGAAGCTTTTATGCCATATGCATGGGTTTGCATCCTTTCCATAATGTCTATTAGAAAAAGATCAAAGTTTAAAAAATTCAAAAGTTAACAGGATTGCTTATGTTAAACCAAAAAGGTGACTTTCCTTGATGTTGCTGTAAAAGCCTTTCTTTTATCATTTCCAAACATTGCAGGATTGCAGAGAAGTAAATTTTAAATGACTGACTATAGAATGAGTGATAGGCCAAAATTCACTTAGCCTTGTTTGGCCCTTTCCCATATTCATGCAACAACATCGGCAGCTGGTAACAGATTGCCATTCTTAGATAAGCAGCTAGAAACCATCTGGTTACTATTGAAGCCAGCCCAGGACTTGTGCCAATGGCAAAGCCACTGTCTAAAGAAGCAGAGAACACCACTTTAGAGGGTTTTTCTTGTTTTATTTTGTCTTTTATTTCAAATGCTTTGCAAGAAGTTAGATGACTTTACCACTTTATTTTCAAGATTGCAGAACTAAATCTGGAGGCGCTTGCTAGTCGCCAGGAATTGCATGCAGCAGGCCAAGAGCTGAGAAATAAAACAGAAGTTGTTCAACAGCCAAACACAAGGTAATATTTTTCAGTCCTAAACAAGAGCACAGGCAAATGGTATATCTGGTTTCTTATTTAACAACACAACCTGAGATTTTATTTTTTCCTCTTTCGAGTATTGAGAAATGTTTACCAAAAATATAAATACATTCTTCTATCACAAAAACTATGGGGGATAATACACCTTCTGCCCTAAGTAAAAAGTTAGTGAATTGGTATATCTATTTATTTTTCTAGTTTTCTGAATCTACTGGCTGGTCTAAAAATGACATCCTTTACCAAAAAAATAAGACATTGAGATACATTGAACTAAATAGCACTGGGGGAGATGCTAGACTAGTTGGTATTTTGATTAGAAGAGTCAGTCTTGATGTTTTGCCCAGATTGAAAAAATAAGACAAACAAAAACACTCTCAGAAGAGATTTGGCATGACAAATTTATCAGATCCTTAGAATGTAGTCTAAGCTTTGACAGGGCGTTGGGTATATTTCCTGTTCATCCTTCCTCTCCCTAACTATAGAACAACACTGTCCAATACAATTTTCTGTGATGATGGAAATGTGCACTATCTGAGCTGTGCAGTACGGTAGCCACTAGCCACATGTGATTAGTGGGATTGAGAAATGGAGTTTTTAATTTTTTTTTAGTTTAAATTAGTGGCTACCATGTTGGACCAGGCAGATACGAAGAAATAACTTTCTGCTTATGGAAAACTTGTTCTTACCTTGGTCTTTTCTACTTCTCTCCAGTGTTTTAGAATGCTTGGACTCAGTGGGTCAGAAACTCCTTTTCTTGACCCGGGAGACAGATGCTAGTGAACTTTCTTCTTCCAGAAACTGTCAAAGTATTAAGTGCCTTTCAAATAAAGAGGTGAGTGACCTGCTGTCCCTTTGCAGGTTACATTCAGAGCAGAGGAGAGAATAGCCCTGTGCACGGCATGCAAGTTTTATGATTTTTTTTCATCAGCAGTGCTGGCTACAGTGAGCAAGTCTGGCTTCTGTCTCATGTTTTGTATGGGGCACTTTTAGTCCCAGTTACCCCACAGGAGCAGAACTGACAGCTGCCATTGTCTGCTTCCTGAGCCCAGCAGGCCAGTGGCTTTGACCCTGTATACCACTTCGAATTTCTGTTCTGTTTTCGGTTTATGAAGATGTTCCTCTTGATTTTAAGCCTAGCTATATCTTTTTGGTTTACTGTTTTATATTTTATCTATCATTGCTATATATGTGAAACACAGGAGGTACATCAAAGCATAAACTTACTGTGTTATCTTGTCTAGAAGATCCATATTTTTTTTTAAGCATTTTATTTGGAAATAATTTCAGACTCACAGAAAACTTGCATGAATGTTAGAACATCTACATATCTTCTATCTAGATTCACCTGTTGTTAATACTCTGCCCCAGCATTAACTTATTAATTTATTATTTGTGTATGTTTCTGCATGCTCCTTTTTCTCTCTCTTCTTCTCTCTCTCTTTCTCTGACATTTTATTTTCTTCTCTCTCTGACATTTTATTTTTGAGAATAAGCTGCATACATCATGGTCCTTTACCCCTAAATACTTCAATGTGTATTTCCATCCCCTTTCATCTGGAACAACCCTCAACCTTTCTTTGTCTTTCATGATATATTTTTTAATAATGCATGTCCCCCCTTTTTTCTTTAACAGAATGTTCCCCATTTTGGGTTTTATGGTGTTTCCTCCTGATTAGTTTCTGTCTCAACAAGGTGTTCAGGCTTATCTTGGTATTAGAAGACAAGATGTGGGTGCTAGATGTGCATATTGCTACTGAGGTATCTTTGTTTCTAGACTCTTTCAGCAGACAGAGTTAGGAAATATATGTATGTATACATACACAGAGGTAATACATATGCATACATGGATGTACACAGAACCATTCTCATTGCGGTCATGTTGATTCTGACCCATGGTGACCCCACGTGTGTCAGAGTAGAACTGTGCTCCATGGGGTTTTTAATAGCTGATTTTTCAGAAGTAGATCACCAGGCCTTCCTTCCAAGGTGAGCTCTAACCTCCAACCTTTTGGTTAGCAGCCGAGCACATTAACCGTTTGCACTACCCAGGGTATATATACACATATATACATAAATATATTTATACACATATAAGAATATTGAATATAGCATGGGCTGCCAGAAGAACGAACAAGTCTGTCTTGGAATAAATACAGCCAGAGTGTTCCTTGGAAGCAGGGATGGCGAGACTTCATCTCATGTACTTTAGACATGTTAGCAGGAGGGGCCAGGCCCTGGAGAAGGACATCGTGTTTGGTAAGGTAGAGGGTCAGCAAAAAAGAGGAAGACCCTCAACAAGGTGGATTGACACAGTGGCTGCAACAATGGGCCCAGACATAGCAACGATTGTGAGGATGGCCCAAGACTGGGCAGTGTTTTGTTCTGTTGCACATACGGTTGCTATGAGTCAGAACCAACTCAATGGCACCTAACAACATATGTACACACACATATATACATATATTTTAGAAATTGTGTCTATAACAATACCTCCGATTTCAATGCATTCATGCAGGGTTCTTATTTTCCTTCCTTCATTCCACAGTTGTGTCTCCCTTTTTTGCTGCACCCATATCACTATAGAATGAGCTCAAAACACCCCCACACTCCAAGACTGAGGGTATAGGGTATGTAAATATTTTATTTATAAGTTATTTGGGTTCTTTTTCCCCTTCAGACTAGCTATGTTATGCATTTAAAATACAGCTGGGTTCATTTGTTTTAGTTTGCTTTCAGTTCTAGTGTGTTTTTTTTTTTCTTTCCTCCTATCTTTGTTGATTTAATTTTCTTGATATATAGAACATTAACATTAAATTATAAAGGCAAAACTGTATAAAAAAGTATACTCAAAGAAGTGTCATTCCCTCTCATGTCTTTCCTCCATCTTCCCACCTCATAAGTAAATAACTTTGTTTTCTGTTACATATACTTGCTTATTTCTCCTTTTTTTAAAAACTTTTACTTTGGTGAAATATATATGACAAACATTTGCCATTACAACTATTTTTATGTATACAATTGTGACGTTAATTACATTCACCATGTTGTGCAAATATCACCACTGTCCATTTCCAAAAGCTTTTCATCACCCCAAACAGAAACTCACTACCCCTGAATACCTACCTCCCCATTTTCCCCCTTCCACCTGCTCCCCATAACCACTAATAAACTTTCTCTGCATTTGCCTCTTCTGGATATTTCATGTAAGTGGGATCATACAATATGTGTCCTTTTGTGTCTGACTTATTTCACTCATCATAATGTTTTAAGGTTCATCCACATTGTAGCATGCATCAGAACTTTAAAAAATTTCTCGTTTTCTCCCCAACAATTTCTACATGTGTAATTCAGTGACATTGATTGCATTCTTCAGATTGTACAACCATTCTCACTATCCTTTTCCAAATTATTCCACCACCCTTAACATAAAGTCACTGGCCCCTAAGCAGAAACTTCCCCTCTCCTTCTCCTTCCCACCCCTGGTAACCACTAAGAATTTTTGGTTTCTATATATTTGCTTAAAAAGCCCTGGTGGCACAGTGGTTAAGCGCTCGGTGGTTCGAACCCACCAGCTTTTCAGCAGGAGAAAGATGTGGCAGTGAGCTTCCATGAAGATTACAGTCTTGGAATCCTATGGAGTAGTTCTACTCTGTCCTATAGGGTTGCTATGAGTCAGAATCAACTTGACAGCAATGGGTGTGGTTTGGGGTTTATATATTTACTTATTTCATGTAAGTGTGATCATACAGTATTTATCCTTTTGCAACTGACTTATTTCTTTCAGCATAATTTTTCGAGGTTCAAGGTGTTGTGGCATGCATCAGAACTTCACTTCGCTTTATGGCTGAATAATATTCCATTGTGTGCATATACCACATCTTGTTTATCCATTCATCTATTGATGGACACTTGTGTTTTCTCCACTTTTCAGCTGTTGTGAGTAATGCTAAACTGAACATTGGTGTATCTGAGACCCTGCTTTCAAGTTTCTTGGTATCGGGATAATGTTGGCCGCATAGTTAGGAAGTGTTCCCTCCTCTTCTGTGTTTTCGAAGAGTTTAAGGATTGGTGTCAGTTCTTTAAATGTTTGGTAGAATTCGCCAGTGAAGCCATCTGGTCTAGGACTTTTTTTGTTGTTGGGAGGTTTTTAATTACTGATTCAGTCTCTTCACTTGTTATGGGTCTGTTGAGATTTTCTATTTCTTCTTGAGTCAGTTAGGTAGTTTATGTGTTTCTGTCCATTTCATCTAATTTGTTGTATATAGTTTTCATAGTATTCCCTTATGATTCTTTTTATTTCTGTAGTATCAATTGCAATATCCTCACTTTTATTTCTGATTTTAGTTATTTGCATCTTCTCTCTCTTTTTTCAGTCTAGCTAAAAGTTTGTCAGTTTTATTGATCTTTTCAAAAAACCAACTTCTGGTTTTATTGATTCTCTCTGTTGCTTTTCTGTTCCCTATTTCGTTTCTTTCCTTTTGATAGCTTTGGGCTTAGTTTGCTCTTCTTTTTCTAGTTGCTCAAGTTGAAAAGTCAGGTTATTGATTTGAGAGCTTTCTTCTCTTTTTCTTTCTTATACAGAAGATAAGATACTATATAAGCTCTTTTGCAATTGGCTTTTTCCTCTGAGAATATGTCCTAGAAATTATACCATATCAGTTTATAAGCATTGTCCTCATTCTTTATTACAGTTGCATAGTACTCCAGTGTATATATACCATTTTTTAATTTCTTTTTTTTCCAAATATTATGTCTCTATTTTCTCTTGTCTAAATGCTTTGGCTAATGCCTCTAGAACAATGTTAAATAGTAGTGGATATACTTGGCCTTCTTGCATTTTTCCTAACCCTAATGAGAATGCCTCTGGAGTTTCCCCATTTAAGTCAGATGTTGGCTTTAGGATTGAGCTATATGTATATCATCACATTAAGGAAGTATCTATCCATTCTTTTTTTTTTCCCCCCAAGAGTTTTTATTAGGAATGGGTGTTGAATTTTGTCAGACTTCTTCAGCATGTCTGAAGATAACTCATATAATTTTCTCTTCAGGCTTAATAACATGGAGAATTATGTTAATAGATGTTTTAATATTGTACCATTCTTACACTCCTGGAATAAATCCCATTGGTTATGTTATATTATTTTCTTAATGTTTTCTTATGTTGATATTTATAAGTAATATTACTCTGTAATTTTCGTTTTTGTTTATCAAGTTCAGGTTTAAATGTTACACTTGCTTGAAAAGAACTTGGAAATTTTCCTTCATTGTCACGATTCTGAAACAATATATGTAGTATTGGGACTATATGGTCTCTAAAGGTTTGCTAGTATTCTCCTTGAATCCATCTGGGCCTGATTCTTTTTCGTAGGGTAGTTTCTTGTTAACTTTCTCTAATTCTTCTATGGAAATTGGTTATGCTTAAGATCTTTATAACTGCTAGAGACAATTTTGGTAAAGTATATTTTCCTAAGGAATTCTCTATTTCATCTAGATTAGATTTACGTATTTATATAGTGCTGTGTGAGTCTCTTTAATTTTTTTTTTTTTGCCCCATATCAGTAGCTATTTCCCCCTGCCATTTATTATTTTATATATTTGTATCGTGTTTTCTCTCTCTTTTTTTTTCTGCCTTAATTAAATTAGTTCGTAGTTGATCTACTTTGTTCCCTGCCCCTAAAGAACCAGGATTTTGATTTATTAGTTTGTTCTGTTTTTCTGCTCTCTACTTCGTTAATTTCTGCTTTTACATTTAGTCTTCTTTGTGCTATATTTTGTTGTTTTTCTATCTTTTTGAGTTGGGAAATTCATTTATTTTATTTCTTTCATTTTTATTGATATAGGTTTTTAGGGCTATGAATTTCCGTTTAATCACTGCTCTGAATGTATTCCATAGATTTTAATATATAGTATTTTCATCATTGCTATTTTTGAAATTTATTAATTTCTGTTTATATTTCCCATTTCACCCAAGAATTATTTACAGAGAATTTTTTTAGTTTCCAGGCGGCAAGGCCTTTTGCTTTTGAGTTAAGCTCATCCTGTTTGTTGATATTATTGATATGTTTGGTCTCAATTCTGTCTTATGCTTTTTTACATTTCTTTTGGTATTTAGGAAGGTTTGTTCTTTTATTACAGTGGTTACCTTTCAGAACCTTTAATACCTTTTTTTCTTATTTAACCTTTTACCATGTGGTCTGTCAGTTTTAAGTGGTATCATTTTTCTCCTACTTATTATTTATACAGTAATCAATAGTCTTATTCTACTTTCTCTTGTCTGTGATTAATGAGTTTTACTTCTTCCTTTCCAAACTGTGTGCCTTTTATTGCTTTTCTTGCCGTAGTGTACAGTCTAGAATCTCCAGCACAATGTTGAATAGAAGTGGTGACAACAGGCATTCTTGGCTTGTTCATGATCTTAGGGGGAACCACTCCATCTCATAGCATTAATCAGGATGCTAGTGGTAGTAGTTAATTTTTATAGATGTCCTTTATGAGGCTCTGGAATTTTCCTTCTAAATTCCTGATTTGCTTTACTTCATCTTGGCAAGAGGTAGAAGTTCTTGTAAGTTATATTTGAAAAGTCCCAGTCTAATTCTCTTGGCCTTGTAAATTATTTCTTCTTTATGCCTAGAGGCCCTGAGAAGTTTTTTTTCCCTTTGTATTTAAAGTCTAATTGTCTTACTAGGCTGTGTCTCAGAGTTGACCATTTCAGGTCAGTTATTCCTGGTACCCAGTGACATCTTTCAATATATAGATTCTAGGCTTCTTTTATTTTCAGAATGTTTTCCTGGATTATATTTTCAAATATTCATTTGGTTTCATTGTTTTAATTTTCTTCCTCATGGACTCCAATTACACAAGTATGTTGGCCCTCCTTTGACTATCTTCCATTTCTGCTCCTCTCTCTGATCCTTTTTATTTCATTTTTATTCTCTTTGTTTTTTTTCTTCCCCCTGCTTTTTTGCAATGTCCTTTATTAAATTTTCACTTGAATCTATTCTTTCTTGGTACCTTGTAATTTCCTCTTCTGTTCTTGGTTTTTCTGTTTTTTCTCATTTAAGATATGTTTTTTCATATCCCTAAATGCTTGACTGCTAATATTTAATTCCATTTGGAGTATAATGGTAATAGTTTCCTTCAGCTCCGTAGTTGATTTTTGGGGGGAGAATTTTCATCAACTGAAATGCTTTAATTCTCACTTTCTGTTTTTTTTTTAGTTTTGTTTTTAATAGTAGTTTAGATTAATGTGGCCTGCTGTTGTCTAATTTTATTCATTTTATGAACAGAGTTTTCATTCAGGAGCCCCTCTTCTGCCAGTTTCTCCTTCCTCAATGCAGTTTTGTTTTTACTTTTTCTTTTTTAATGCTATTTCTTTTAAGAATGATGTTGTAGTATTGAGGAGAGGGAGAGGGCAGTTATACTGTTGTTCTGGGATGGGTTGGCAGGTGTATTATTTCTCTTTCCTTTCTGTAGGTTCCTTAATTTCCCCCTCTTATTTCCTTTTTTCCCTTCACTGCAGTGTCTTCAAGGGGTAATACCTCTTCTCTGTGTACCTGATTATTCCCTAGAAGTACTGCTTTTTGAGGCTGCCAAGTCAAGTGCTGTGGCCTATCAGAGCCTTGGCTAGTGTTCATTGTTTTGGCAGTCAGTTGGACTTTCTCTGGGAGTAATTTTGTTTGTGCTTCATCTAAGTTTTCCATGTCCTTTGCTTCTTTCTCACAGACTGTTAAGCCTACTCTCTCTTGTTCTCTGTACTCGCTGGCTTGTAGCAGTGTGCCATGGTGGGAGCTCTGCTGGAATTTAATTTATTTCCCTAATTGGAAGTAGTTTTAAGGTTGTAATATTCACTGTCTGTTAGTAATACTGAAGGTATGGGCCAAATGTGGTTTTATTTATTCTTCTTACTGGTTTTATGATTTTTTGGGAGGCCATGCGGTGTCACCATTTTTTTCCAGAGCTGGAAATCAGCCCCATATTGCTTTTCATTAAAGGTAAAAAGACAAGCATCGTTTATATTATTGTGGCTTACTTCCAGGAGCCACAATAGGCTACTAGGTTCCTAGCTCAACCAGGCTGTGTTCTCTGCAGGTTCTTGAGCAGGCCAGAGTGGAAATTCCCCTGTTTCCCTTCAGCATTGTCCAGTTCTCTTTTGAGCCATTTTCACCCAGCCTCACTGAGGAGATGAACAAAAGGGTAGGTAGATGGGTTCTGCTAGATGATTTATTTAATTACTTTTATAACCTCCCCCATTATAGGAAGTAATACGTGCTTTATTAAATTTGTCATGTATTTCTCCAGAGTTTTTCTATGTCTATATTAACATTTTTAAAAATACATTTTTATAAAATGGGAATCAGCCTATGTATACTGTTTTATAACTTTATATTTTAATTTAACAGTATATTTTGTATACCTTTTCATGTCAGTACATATCCTATCTCCCTTTTTTTTAATGGCCACATATTTCATTGTATGGTATACCTATATTTATAACACTTATACTTTATAAATTTTGCCATGATAAGTAATACTGTAGTGACCATCCTTGTATATAAATCTTTGCACTTTGGCAACTGTTTGTGTCAAAAAATTCCTTGAAGTGGAATTAGCCCATATTTTGTCTCATGTTTTTTTAGACTTTACTTAATTCTCTTTTCACATCCACCTCCTCACTGTATTCTGCTGTTTTTCCTATAGATGAGGGTCAAGTGGTCAGAGATGTCAACTGTCTATGTTGGGCCATTTAGCAAAAATTGCAACCTCAAGGTTCTGAAGAGGCTGTTTAAGAGCTTTGGCCCAGTTCGATCAATGACTCTTGTTCTTGAAACCCATCAGGTAAGGAGACGAGAAAACTCAGATTTTGACCTTCTAGATTAGTGCTAGAAACTCTGATGTCTACAGGAGCCATGCAGTAATAAATATTAGTTAAGTGAGCTTGACTGTTACCAACTGGAGTGTGAGACATGCTCTGTCTGATGGGGGCAGTTATTGACCCACAGAAATGTGTACCCAGATCTTTGAATTTTTTAAGAAAATTCAGAAACCTGCCAACTTTTATATGTTGGCTGCAGTTTTCTTAAATATCATGTAGCCAGACAAAAAGTATGTTTATTAGTTGAATGTATCCTTGTGATTGTGACCTCAGCTTTAAGTGATAAAGTACCCTTTCAAAAACAGCAATGGTTTCTGTGTCTTGGGAGGACTCTGTAGGGCTTAACTTCAGAGTAGGTTCATAGATGGGTTAAGATACAGGAGGAAGATTATGGGAAGGTTTTCTCTCCATGATGATGACGTGGCTCAGATAAACACAAAGAGTGATTATCTCTGAGACATCAAGTAGAAAAGCATGAGGAACAAGAAGTGTTGTCCTGCAGAAAAGCTCTACCTTCAAGATTAAAGGAGACGATGTTAGGACAAGATACTCAAGTCCAGAGAGCATAAACACCAGTGGCTGGTTATCCAGACATTTGTGAAAAATGGACTGATTTGCAGTCCATTCAAACATGTGACCTATCCAATGGAAGAACTTAGCTCCCGAAGCTTATAGCCTGTCTAAAGTAACAAAAAAGACAAATGGGAATCTCTACCTATGGCTTCAGTGTTGACCTAAGCCTTTGGTGACTCATAAGAAATATTATGAAAAGCAAGTTGGATAGTAAAGAATTTGTTAGTGCTTTCCCCATGCCACCCAGGGAGAGAGGGCTTCAGTTTTAAATGACAAGTAAGGTTATTATCTTAGAACCAGTCCTGAACCTTGGTGATTCCACTTAAAGTTGGACTCCACCGTGAAGCAATCAGCAATCACTGTCTAGCCCAACACAGTAAGGGCGTCCATTCTGGTGGCTTTGGGCACCATAGGTCATGTCCCTTCCCTAGCTCCTGCCCTAGTTTGAGCCTGGAAAGCATAGCTGAGGATATCTTGTTCTTTCTGCAGCCTCATCTCTGTATCCAGTATGAAGTCCTGGAAGCTGCACAGCTGGCCATAGAGACCTTGGATGGGGTTCTGGTAGAAGATATCTGCATCAAGGTAGGGTGGCCAGGAACAGAGAGAAAAAGCAGCACCCTTCACTCAGCCATAGTCCAACACAGCCTGTATTTACAGTGCCCAAGACATATAGGAAACACCCTAGAGAAGCCCAAGCATAAGACTTCTATTACGGAGTCTTCAGTCAAGCCTCAAATTCTCCTAGCAATGAGGCACCTAAGACATGACAGCTTCTGTTTTTGTCACAATTTACCTGGGCTACATTGGGGTCTTCCTGGTATGATTTATCACTACTTAGGATCCAAATGGTTTATTCTGGGTGGTTGTTTGTGGTAGCCCTTCCCTTCAACTTTCAAGGGGATCAAATGGTGGTATTTTGAAGTTTCTTATATAAGTAAACAGAATTTCATTGAGGGCAGGAGGCAGAGAACTGATATGTAATGTTGGGGATGGGGAGAGAAAAAGAGGGAGAATATGTTTACATGAAAATATATAAATATTTTTATCTGTCTAGCCTCCACTGTAGTTCTGTGAGGCAGTTATCATTGTCCTCATTTTACAGATGAGGAAACTGCAAAATCATTTTCCCAAGGACTCTGGCTAGTATGCAGAGGCCTGGGGGTTGAAGTGATGACTTTCTACCACTAACTCGTTGGTTCCTGGGTTAGGTGCAGAGACCTGTGACAGAGCTTACCCTCGATTGTGACACTCTCGTGAACGAGCTGGAACAAGATTCTGAGAACCAAGGTACTATCTACCTGTCTGGAGTGAGTGAAACCTTCAGAGAACACTTGTTGCAGCAGTCTACCCTCTTCTTCGGCCTGGAAGCTGTGATCTTGCCTAAAGATCTTAAAAGTGGAAAGCAGAAAAAATACTGTTTTCTGAGTAAGTCTACACCACCAAAGGTAGCCTTAGGGAAGATTGGGGCTGGTGAAAACATGAGGTCGGAGAAGGGAAAGGCTCAGCAAACAAGCCCTCCTAGGCTGGACCAGGGCAGCAGCTCGTGATTGTGTGCTTCTGCCATGGCCCTGGCCATGCCCCAGCTTGAATGGTGACCAACTTTCTTGGCCCTTGATAACAGAAGGTGGGGGATATTCTTGCTTTCAGAATTCAGAACTTTTGGCAGCGCCCAGAGGGCCCTCAACATTTTCACGGGCAAGGACTGGAAACTCAAAGGCAGGCACGCCCTAACCCCCAGGCACCTCCACGCATGGCTCAGGGGCTTGCCTCCTGAATCCAGAAGGCCCCCAGGTATTCGTGTCTTACCACCCCCCTCGGAGCAGCAGGCCTTACAGGTGAGTGAGTGGGAGTGTATCCTGGGGTCAGACAGGAAAGGCAGCTGCTCTGGTTGGCTTGCCCTGGACCTTGACCTTTAGCTGTTTCTGGAAATCAGTCAGTGGAGTCCTGCTCAGTGACACTTAAGCCTTCCATCTCCTTTTTCTGTCCTGGCCCCAGTCTTTTTTCAGTCTCCATGTTCTTTCGGCCCTGGCCACATCTCTCTTTCTCCAAGGTTTCTCATACTCTTGCTCCCTCCTACCTACTAAAATCAGGTTTTTGGTTCTCCAGGTAGGTCTCCAAGGGACTTTGAGGGACTCGGGCAGGAGGTCAGAGAGCTGGACAAGTCTTCAGTGATCTAGTCTAGAGTTTCCCAAAGTGTGGTACACATGCAAGATGATTTTTGGTGGTCATAGATGGACTGTTGTTTTTTTTTTTCTGTTTGATAGTTATGGACTTGTTTTTCTAACACTCATTAAAATATGCAACCACCACGTTGAAGCTGTGATTTCAGAGATAGTAGTGCTTGGACAAGGCTAAGGAAGAAATTGACTTACTTAGAAACAAACAAACGTGAGGGGGACACACAAGTAGAGTGGTGAAGGTAGGGTGTGAATGACTACAGTTTGGGAAAATCTGTCCTAGTCTCAGCTCCCACACTTAGCAGATGAGGAATAGAGGCCAGAGCTGGTGAGTGACTTGCCAGAAGTCACAAAGATTCTTAATGGCAGAGCCCAGATGAGAGTCCTTATCAGTGATATGGCTCCCCTAGCTCAGAGCCCTACAGGACCCACCTGGAGGAAACACAGCCAGCCTCTCCTGAGGAGGCCCTAAACTGACCCTGAGGCCTGGGGGTGCTGTGGTGGACAGGAAACCCTGTAGTATGGGCTCCAGCTTCAGATCAGGAGATTTGTACAGAGCCTTTGCTGGGCTCCCATGGCCCTAGAGTCTGAGGAAGAGTGTTACAGCCCCTCCAAATGTGAGTAGACGATGCTCTAGCTGAGTATTGACACGAGGCTTTGATCCCAGGTCCTGAAGATGGATCACCCGAAGATAGCAGCCTGGCGCTGGGGCCGGAAGATTGGAAAGCTCTACCACAGCCTGTGCCCGGGCACCCTTTGCCTCATCCTACTACCAGGAACCAAGAGGTAAGAACTGTGAAGGCTTGTCCCTTTGTGACTGGTCCCTGGGCTCCAGCTGGTCTCGTAGAAAGGGCATTTGTTGATGTCCAGGCACATACTGAAGACGTACATGAATCATCTCTTAATCTTCACAGTAGTTCTGAGAGATAGGTATTATATTCCTATTTTACATGTATATGCTCCTATATAACTATACTTACTGCTCTGAACGACACAGCTCCTGCCAGTTGACTTTTAAGGTCTAGCAGGGCCAGTGTGGCTGCTTCTAACCTGAGGAATACTGGGGCAAGACTCTGAGTACAGTCCCAGCTCTATCACATATTTTCTCTGTGGCAAGAGGCCAAGCCACTTTCCCACTATGAGTCTCGATTTTCCTTCAGTTGAATGAGGGATTTGAAGTAAATCAATGATTTTGAAACCCTTTTAGCTGTAAAACCCTTTAAAGAAAAACTAATGTTAAATCCTAAAACATGAAGATGGGCAGTTCTGGATATGAATGAGTGGGTGGATGAATGAGTGTGTATATTGGGGTAGGGAGAAAGGAGGGGAAGTGGCTTTTTTGAACATAGTTTTCAGACCACTGGATTGTATTAGATCTAAAAAGTCCCTGACAATCTGGCATTCTGGGATTCTTTCCAGCCCCAAGGTCCCAAACAGCAGAACATGAATACCTTGATCTAGGCCTTGAAGCCTGGATCAGAAATTCATTTTCTGTCATAAAGTCCTTTAACATGCATGTCAGGGCCACTAGTGAGATGGACTACCTCATGGGCAGCTTGAGAGAATTGCTGTCTCTGAGAAGCAGAAACCGTTATTGGGTGTTTACACTGAATAAAAAACGCCTTAGACTGATATACTTTAAGCAGGCTTGTGGATAGGCTAGCAGCAGAAGTTATAAAGTGACCAGAAGTTGCCAGTAAAGCTTTTTGGTTAGGCGCATAGCTGTGGAGGCAGACAGACTTGCCCTTACACAGCTCCTCATGGCCAGTGTATGGAGGGAGGGATAGAACACGGGAGTTCGTCTTTATGTTTCCAGATAGAATACTTAGATTGCAGTCCCCCACTGCAGGTAAACTAAGTCAAGAGTGACCCAAAAGCATGGTCAGTTCAGTGGTCACCGTGGGTGAAGGCTTAGTGGGGAGTGTTGGGGTCAGGGAGCATCAAGGCTTGGGTTCTGACTGAGGTGAAGCTCCTAAGACAGGTTTGACAAGTCAGAAGAACAAACCCCCTGGAAGCAGCAAATCCTGCAGTGAGGAAGCCGAATATTACTCCTTCCTCCTTATTGATCAAACCTAGCAACAGGAACATGCATTTTCCAAACAAGCAAACTGTGTAAGCTTGTTGTGTGATGGCCTTCTCTGGGCCTTGTCTGATGCTAGCCAATCCCCTAGGGAAACCAAGTGGCTCAGGAAAAAGGAGGAACAAAGAGAAGAAAATGTTTCCTCACGCTGGAGGCCTGACGCAGCTCTTAAACAATCCTTACATCTCTGGTCACTACTGAAATTAATAATTGAAAATATTAACTATAATTTATCACACTTTTAATAAGTGCCAGGTACTGTGGAAAGTGCTTTTATATGCATTTTTGACTGCAGTTGTTAGAATCTCCATTTAACAGGTGGAGGAAAAGGCTCAGATTAAGCAGCTTGTCTAAGGTCACACAGCTAGTAGGTGCACAGTCAGGATGTAAACGCTTGTAGTCCATCTGACTCCAAAGCTGCTCTTCAGCCCTTAAAGTGCCAGTCTTCCATACCCAGAAAGACTAGTAGTGCTTGTTAGCTTAATTTCAGGCAGCAGCTGGTGACAGATTCCTTGTTTGTCTTTGCTCGTATCTACCTGATTCGCTTCAGAGGTTGCTCCTCAACCCTCTAACTCAGCTCCATTGAATTTTCATTATAAGGTGACAGGCAGCTAACGTATTGGATGGCTCCTAAATTCTAACCACTTATGCCAGGTGTTTTACATGCACTGTTAAATAAGTTAATGCTTTGTAAAGTTTTTCAAACAGTGCCTGGCACATAATAGGTGCTACAAAAGTGTTTAAGTAACATGAACAGCAACAAAAAATAAACTCTAACATGGCAGTTTACCAAGACTGATGACAGACTGCCATTATTGAAATCCTGCTTCTGTCCCTTACCAGTTGTGTGACTTTAGCAAGTTGTATGTCTCTGAGCCTGTTTCTTTATTTGAAAAATGGAGATAATTTTACCTACATCAGTGAGCTATTTTGAGAATTAAACAAGACAAAGCATATAAAGTACTTAGAAGAGTGCCTGGCAGGTAGTAAGTGCTCTGTGTGTTAGTTAGTGTTGTTTGTAGTCCTAATAAAAGCCCTGTGAGACAGGAATTTAAATAAACTTACCTCCCCTAGCTAGGAGTTTATAACCATCATTCAACCCTGTGGATAATAACCTACCTTCATTCCTCATTTGTTATTTGTTGCAGCGCTCATGGATCGCTCTCTGGCCTAGGACTGATGGGAATAAAAGACGAAGAGTAAAGTACCACCCCAAACATGTCTTTGTGAGTCTGCCCACCACTTTCCACAAGCCATTTTTTATTCCTCCCAGGCAATGGCGGAGATTGTGGTCAGGCCACAGCCTCCCCAGGTCGCGAGTCCTCTTCATCCAGCAGACAGCTCTTGCAGAAACTACTTAGTGTACCAGCTAAGGAGTCTAGTTCATTTATATGGCATGTACAAATTTTCAATAAATGCCTAAATTTCAAGCATTCTTCCTCTTGAGACAGTGAGAGGAGGAAACCAGTTTATTCTTTGTCAGTGGGTTTATGTACACAGGTGTGGTAGTAGGTGCTTGTCCCATGTGGCACTCCTAGTAAATGGTATGTACAGATGAGGAAGCCAGGAGAAAACCCAGCCATTATGTGGCTTGTCAAAGTTGTAACATCTATGAAGCAAATTTCTCTCAGGCAAACTTGTTTCCTCATTGACAGCTGTTATAAGACTAAAGTAAAAAAAAAAAAAAAAAGTTGGCTGAACTAAAAATCTGGCAGCTCCACCAGACCAAGGAGGGTGGAAGGCTCTTTGAGCTTTTGAACAACACTGGAAACCCTCTTCGGATTCCATTCTTAGGAATGCCTCCTACCCTTCAAAATGAGGCCTCAGTGTCATCCTTCACCAGTAGGTGCCTCCCTCACACCAGATCTTTCCTTTGAAACTGAAGCTTCATATTCAAAGCCAGTACCTGCTCTGCTTTTTAATCATCTCTCAAACTGATAACAGTCTATGTTAGAAAGGACATGGGCCCAGGCACACAATTCTAAATAAGTATTAAGCACGTGTGTGTGTGTGTGTGTGTGTGTGTGTGTGTGTGTGTGTGTGTGTGTGTGTGTGTGTGTTTATGAATCTCCAGTGAAAGAGATCTGCAAAAGGAGGCAACAGAGCTCTGGATCCAGACTGCCTGGCTTTGAATCCCAGCTTTCCTGCTCATTAAGTTGTGTGAACTTGAATAAATTAACATGTCTCTGCTTGGGATAATAATGGTACATAGCTCTTAGGATTGTTGTGAATATAAATGAGATTATGCATTCACAGTACTGTACCCGTAGTATTCACTAAGTAAGTTCTGGCTATTAATATGTTATATGAAAGGGCGAGGGTTACAGAATAGTATGCATAGTTTGAGCCCATTTTTGTAGGAAAAAACATACACACAAAGCTTTGCATGGGCTTGTAACAAAATCAGGAAGGCTATAATGCCGAAATGTTAACAGTATTTATCTATAGCTAGTGGGATTAGCAAATTCGTTTTCATCAAATCCGTCTGTGTGGGGGCTGGATTTTTTTAAACATTCAGCATATATTGCTATTATAATTAGCAAACAGTTCTACTTAAAATTAACTCTCAAGATTGAGCATTTGAGGCAGTTTAATCCTTTAAGTGTAGCCTCTACAAGATCTGGCCTTATGTGGAAGTTGGGAACCAGGAGCCAGAACTGAAGAGTTTGATTTGGATTTAGGGCACTGCAGATTGAATCCCCTCATCAGGAGGAAAGTTCCCCAGGTGTACTACCAACCTCACCTGCAAGGCCCTGAATAAAGCCAACTCTTTAATGGGTGACAGGGAAGTGTCCTGGAACTTGGTCACATTCCACTAACCTTGGCCTATGGCAGTTCCTACCAGGACCCATCTTTCCAGTTCTCAGGCTTTTCCATGGAGCAGCTTGAAACCGACAGTGTTGCTGGATTCCTTCCCGCCAGCTGAGCTCCAAAGCTGTGCTCACCTCTTGAGGCTCCAGTCCTGAAGCACAAAATAAGCGCTTGCCTTTAGACAGACAAGCCTGCGTTGGAGCTTCAGCTCTGCTCCTGGGTATTCTTGGGCAAGTCTCTTAATTCCATTTGAGTCCATTTCCTCAGATATATAAAATGAGGAAATAGCTACTTTTAAGGAGAATTCAGAGCCTGTTTGTGGAAAATGACAGAATAGTGACTATATATGAGTTATTTTCCCTCTCTAAGCCTGTTTCCTCACCTTTAAAATGGGGACATGAACCTGTTGCCATTGAGTTGATTCCAACTCATAGTGACCCTATAGGACAGAGCAGAACTGCCCCATAGGGTTTCCAAGGAGCAGCTGTTGGATTCGAACTGCTGACATTTTGGTTAGCAGCCAAATGCTTAACCACTGTGCCACCAGGGCCCCATGGGGACATTAGAACCTACCTACTAAATCTGTTAGCAGGATTAAATTAGGGAAAGCCCAAAGGAAGTGCTCAATGGAGGACATTTTACCAAGGCTCCCTCTGCTCCTAGGAATAGCCAATGCCATTTCCTTCTCCTGGATGGGTGGGCTGGTGGTTTCTCCATGGGCCCCCAACTCCAAAACTCCACAGAGGTTGGGGCCTGGACCACAAGGCCTCTGAGGCCTCAGTCTGCACGCTGTGTTCTCTCAGCTGATGCTCCCACCTTTTGGAAGCCAAAGCTGCCAACTTGGCCTCTTACAAACACACATTCCATTCATAAGTGCGTTTGTGCATTTTTCCTCCCACACCCTTCTAGACAGCCAATGCAGAGCTGCCAAGGCAGCTGCTGGAGAAGCAGCTTCTAGGATTTTTTTTTTTTTTTGGCGGCGGGGGGCGGGGGGGAAGGGTACGGAGGGAAGGGGCAACTCCGGGGTTTTTACAGAACTCTTAGTTTAGGCTTTGCATGTATTCCTCTTTTTTGTGGCCTCCCTACCCACAGTGGGGTTGTTCAAGGCACTCAGCCATATTCATCTTCATTTCCTTTTGTTCCCCCTTTTTGTAAATAACCTTTTCTATATTATAAAGCCCATTAATGGAAATTTGAAAAATCCAGGAAAGTTAAAATCACATCTAACCCCACCTCCTGTAACTGCCAGTGTTTTACAATCTTCTGTTTCAATATGCAATTGCTATATAATATTCCAACATGTTGATGTGTCATAATTACTAAAATAATTCCCTATTGTTGACACTAAAATTCCCAAATGATGCTGCCAGTTATACCCTTGCACATACATCTTTGGCAGATATTTCTTTATGAAAAATTCCTAAAGTGAAATTACTGGGTTTTACCTCCAGAAAGCTTTTTACCATGTTTGTTAGCATGAATTTGTTTCAAATCTTTGCCAATTTGATAGGCTAAAGTTTTTCATTGTAGGTTTAGTTTCTGTTTATTTGAATCCCTTTTAGATTGGCGTTCAACTTTTTTTCCAGAAGCTTTTTTGGCCTGCTGTTTTTCTTCAGTGAGTCGTCCATATCCGTTGCCCATTTTTCTGTTGGGAAGCTGAGTACTTTTCCATACTGAATTTTTAAGGGTGTCTTATGGATTAAGTAGTGTCCATTTGTCAATTAAAGTCTTCACTGATCCATAGATCAATTTAATATCCTCTGACAAGTATATGTATTTTTAATGATTTAGTTTTTACACGTATACCTGTTTTCCCTCTTGGAATTATTTTGGCATTTGGTACTTTTCCCCAAATACTTAGATGATTTTACCCAATTATCTATCTCATTCAGTAAAGGATGCCTCCTTTATTATGTAAATCTATATGTATACTAGTCTGTGTCCATGTTATTTTCTGTCTTATCTTGCATTAGTACCATCTATTTTATAGCTAATTTAATATACTAGCAGTACCACCCCAGATAAGCACAAGCCCCATGGGAAATCCTCATCTGTATGAATTAGGAAACACCTTAGAGAGTTACATGCCCTCCTGCGAACTGCATCCCTGCCATATTCCACTGGGATTTTCTCAGCACCCCTAAAGAAGACTAAATCAAGGCCTGACTGAACATTGCATAAAGAAGAATGTTAACCAAGGTAGGAGCCTTATGGCTTTCATTAAGACATGGCATCCTCAGAAGTCAAAGCAAAGAAAGGGAAACAGGTTAGTCAGGCCCCCTTGCTTCTTCCCAGGCAGACCAACCCTTTTGAACCTAAGTCAGAACCCAGACCTGAAGGGGTACTTCCAGAACCAACCCAGCCATGTGCTTTGGCAAATGGATCTGAGAGCAGAGGCCAGTGCTGAGGTGACTTCTGTACTCGAGACCCTTAGCATGCCTTCAGTAGACCTTTCCTGCTAGAAAGGCAGCTCCATATGCAGTTAAGCTTATCTGTTAAGTATACGGAGAAGCTGCTTGTTCCTCATCTAATTAAAAATTAGCTGTAAATAATCTGTACAGCACTGTGACAACACTTTTGAGTTACTCCAGGCTCTATATAAGCACGAAAATCAGTATCTTCTACTTTGTCACTCCCAAACCTGTTCACAAGGCCCTGGCTAGACTCAGAGGGGCCACAAAAGCCAAACAGCCAAATGAGGGAAAAGTACACATTTTGGGGATACACTTTTTGAGAGAGAAGTAACCCTCTAGGTTTCCTTCCCACCCCCATCTGATGCTATACTTGGCAATAAAGGAGAAAGAGAAAAGCAAAAGTTTCAGTTCATTGAGGAAACCTCAAAAATCTCTCCCTAGCTAGAAAGATTCCCAAGCCCTTTCCAACTCAAAAATAAAATCTAATCCCACCGCTGTACTTTTAGGAGATACCATTATTTTTAGAAGGCTGGGAATCTTTTGGGGAGGCCATTAGGGCCTCCATCAAAGAAATGAGTAGGATGGCTGGTCAACAGCTTTTCCTGTATATAAACAACTCTACAGAAAATACAGTAGAAGGAAGCTAAGGGTAGTAAGTGGTTTACCACAACAGACTTCTAGAATGTGAAACAAGATGGAGCTATCAAGGATCATGCAGTCCAAGCGCCCTCTGCCCCATCTGGCCAAAGGGAAGTTGAGCCCTCAAGAGGAACAGCAACTTGTGAAAGGTCACATGTGACCAGGCCAACCTCCCTCTTGTATTTTCTGGAGCCCCCTGCATTACTCACCTGACATCTTTTGTGGAGAACCGTAAGAGGGTACTTACATGTTTTAGGAGCTGAAGGAAATTCTTTTAAATCCTAACACTTTTTGATAGAATTAACATTCTCTTAATTCTATAGATGAGTAAAAGGAAACTCCAGTTTACTAACTTCCGAGGTTATACAGCAGAGGCACCTGACAGTCCTTTAAAGCCAGGTTCACCTTGTCTCCTTTGCCTTAAGCACCACCCGCCTGATAGATCTAGGAGCCATTCATTTTATACAGTGCTCAAATTCACTTTTTATTCCTCATAGGAATCCACGTGAGCTGGTAAGGTAAGACCGTTTACACAGTTGCCCTGTGAGGACTCATTTACTCTTTGTCTACAAGTGCTGGGACTCCAAAGGCCACCCTGTTAAAGCTTGGCAAATGAGAGGTCAACGCCCATGTTTGGAATCTGGGAATCCTACACTATCTGGATTATTTTCCAAATCCAGTATCATGTTGGGAGAGGCTCCCGGTGGGTACATCTTGCCCCAGAATAAAGTCACTGCTTTTTTTTTTTTTTTTTTTTTTTTCAGAAATGTCAATAGTCAAGTAAACAAATTTATTAAATCCAACAGCAGGTAACCTTCCAAATTAAAAAAAGAAAAATAATACAGACATCAAAGACAAAAATATGTGTAACGAGTTAATAAAAATATTCAAAGGGCCATTTGGAGAGTGCAACAATGCAGAGAATACAAACAAAAGCATTGACTTCTGTCAACAAGTTTGGACAACCTCAGGAAATGGACACACTGGTCACAAACCAAGAGGGATCCACAAAGGTGGAGGGTCACATGAGTAGTGTGGACTCATCACCTCAGCGGGTTAAGGCAGGGTATCTGTAGGACCAATTCATCCAAGCCCCATTTGCCTATTGCTTCAAATTCCCCTTTGAAACCTAGAATCAGATTCATTAGTGCAACAGGTAAGAACAATTAATCACAGATTCAGGGGCCTGGGGACCAGGGTCAGAAGAGCAAGCTTCTTCCAGAGCAGGTATATATGTGTTGGAAAGAGGAGAAAAAAAAGAAAAAAACCCAGCAGCTGCTGAATGGCTTCCTTTGGCAATATCCAAGATTTGTGTTGAAAGCAGTGGGATGGGGTGGGTGGTTGGGTTTCCAAGAGGAGAGAAATGAGGAGGACAAGATGTCCCAGCACCTGAATCAGAAGCAGAATCCATTTGAACCATCTTGGCTTCTACAACTGGTGCTCAAACAAATTTTCCCTTTCAAAACGGAAGGAAAAAAAAAAAAAAGCCTGCTAACTTCACCAAAACGTAGTCCCAGTCCAGGTTAAACTGGATATATGCTAGAATTACAGTTTACCATGAGAATAAACTCTGAAGCGGGGTGGGGATCACCTCCATCTGACTCAAACTGTGGAGTGAGAGGAGGATCAGTGTGGCATGTCCTCAGATGAGTTCCAATTAACACACTTCAACCGTAAAATAATTGTCTTTTCGGCCATTTAAAGAAGATACTGCTGGATTCCCCTAAGGAAGACCTTTGTCAGTTACCAAGATGTTCAAGTCATCGTTAAACCAAACACAAGAGACACAGGAAAAATGGCAAAGCAGGCAATGAAAAAACAAATAAAAAAAGGCAGCAGCAGCAGCAGCTTCCTTCCAGCCCTTACCTTGTAATCGGGTCTACCTCTGGGCTTCCTTACACTGAAGACCTAGCTTTAAATATGGCAAACCAAAAGAGGTGTTTTGGATTTTAAACTTTTAGACAAGTCCTTACCCAGCAACTTCTCACCAGTGTTCGCTATAGTTTGGCATAGTACATGAGGCCCTCAACTATGGGGTCCCACACTCAGCAGCCTCCAGCACTCAGGACTGAATTTTGGCACCAGGCCCTGGGAGATCAGTATTGTTTCACAGACCAATTAATACTGTGTTGCTTAATCCTTTCTTCCTTTTCAAGGCTAGTTCCTGCCTTCCTTGGGGGAGTTTCATATTGAAAATACTTCCTTGTACATTCTTACCTGGATTTCCCTGGGCCTGGGGACTTGGCTGAAGCTTGGATCTTTACCCAGTTCTAGATTTTTCTCTTTCCCTTACCAGAAGGGTAGGGATGGGGCCTTCGACCTAACTCAGAATGTGGGCACGTGCAGCAGAGGGATGAGGGGAGAGCTGCTGGGGCAACCAGCCAAAGCACAGCAAAGTGTCATTAAGGGGGGAGGAGTTAAGATTTGGCAGGGATGGAGGAAAGCAATTCAACGAAGCAATGCTTCATCTCATACCAGCTTCCTTATAAATTGCTAAAGAAACACCACAGAAGCTCACAAAGCCATTTGCCAAAACCCAAGCAATTTCCCAACACACAGGGATTCATTCTATTTGTTGAGGTCACCCTCAGATGTTGGTTTTCAAACTGGCATCCACATCCTGCCCCTCCACAGCACCCTGAAGTTATACGAGTGAAGGGTGCAGGGCTTACCTGAGGGGCATGCATTTGGCTGCTTCCACAAAATCACTGATCGCCAGTGAAGAACAAACCTGTCCCTAGGTTAAGAGGAACAAGGGCTTTTTATTTCCCAGACGTGTAACTGCAAATACTACACACACCTCACCTTGAATGCCTTTGCCAAAAAGCTGCTGCTTTTCCTGTGGTCATGAAAAAGTTAAGCATCGGCCCAGAGCTACTGTAGAAGCTTGAATTTCTTGTTGAGCAGGGAATTAAACCTGGAAGGAACAGTCAGTCTCTCCCTGACTGTTCCCTTTTCCGGCTTCTCATCTGTATCTTTGTAACAAATGGATCATTAAAAATGTAATCAAAAATAATTCTTTTTAATGGCTCCTTGGCTAAGAGGGACCTCCCTGGGTGGTGCAAAGGGTGCTTGGCTGCTAACTGAAAGGCTGGAGGTTCAAGTCCACCCAGAGGTGCCTCGGAAGAAAAGCTTGGAGATCTACTTCCAAAAAACCAGCCATCAAAAACCCTATGGAGTGCAGTTCTACCCTGACACACATGGGGTGGCCATGAGTTGGAACTGACTCAGCGGCATCTTTTTTTTGGCAGGGTGTGTATGTGAGCTGAACTGTTTAAAAAAAAAAAAAATTCCACCCACTATACAGTACACCTAACGCAAGGAATGAAGGATCCCTGGTGGTGCAGTGGTTAAACACTCGGCTGCTAAACGAAAAGCTCTGCAGTTCAAACCCACCACTGCTCCCCAGGAGAAAGATGCGGGAAAGTCTGCCTCCATAAAGATATGGCCTTGGAAACCCTATGGGGCAGTTCTACTCTGTCCTGTACGGTCGCTATGAGTCAGAATGGACAGCAATGGGTTTTAATGAATGGAATGCCTTCTTATAGACTGGGGAAGGAATCCAGTTCCTCCAGAGTCCTCAGCTTCCGCCTCCTCCTGCACACTTTTTTCCATACACCCTTCTGACCTGGAACAGAAAGAACCTTCCCTAGCTAGGAGCATCCTGCCTTTCCCTCATTCAACCTCTGGCCAATCCACAATCGGGAAGAACTAGGAGCAGAGACTGGCTGGATGAGAAGGCGGTCTCTTTAAGAGCTCAGTCTAGGTATCCTGATTAGAGTGGAACCACAGAACCTGCTGGGGCCCTTAGAGACTCTCTTGCACATGGGTGGACATCATGTCTGATTTAATAAGAACAAAGCCAGGCACCTTCAACTTCCCAGCAATACTGCTAACCTACCCTGTGGCTTATTTTAAATGTTTCCCATCTATCCCTCTAGAAGGGACAACTGTCAGGGTTAGGATTAAAGGGAAAAAAAAATCAAATTCCAAGTACATTCGTTATGTCAATGTCAATTTTAGAAAAACACTGACTACAGAAACTTCTTAAATAATCATCTTTGCAAAGAAGGGAGCCCAAAGTTGTTAAGGATAAAGGAACTCAAAATGAGCAGTTCCTGCCCAGGCTGAGAAACATACCCTGGGGTAGGGCGGGAGTTAGGAGAGAAAACTCCAAATGTTTAATAGACAAATTCTCATTACCTCATGAGTATAAATATTTTTATAAGATTTTATTTAAAAGATTCCCTTTTCAATCTGTTCCCAAGTGTCGGAAGCTGAACTGTACAAGTTCCTGCCACCCAGTACAGTTTTTTGAGGACTTTTTTTTTTTTTTTTAATGGAAAAATAACAAGAGGACCCTCTACTGAAACCAGGTAGGACTAGAGTCAGCTCCTCAGGCCCCTGTGTGGCAGTTTGGCCAAAGCTGGCCTTATGGGGCGAATGCTTGAAGGAGTCTGGGGTACTGGGCCCTCCCTCTTGAGAGGCAAGGGCTGAGAAAATTCACCTTCTCTTTAGTGAAAATGGTCCAAATTCAGATTCAAAAGCCTCCTTCATTCTGGCATTCCCTGGTGCTCTTCTTATACTTTATATATTGAAGGCAGCTCCATCTTTTATGGCCAGTTTTAGCAGGCAAAGAAACAATGGAATATAGATACATATATGTGTATATATATATTTTATATATGTAAAATATATACATATTTTATATATGTATATATACATATTTGGGGGCGGGGGAAGGGGAGGAGGGTCATGTAAACCTAAACAGTCATCACATTACCCCAAATGAGCCTGACATTAACAAAAAAGGTAATAAATAACTCTTGGGGCTTCAGTGACAACATCGGTGCAGCAAGAAGGGAAAGGGCACACGTTTAACTATTAAATACACTTCTCTATTTGTTTGGCAGAGCTCAGGCCAGCCCCAGGCTTCTGCACTTGCCAGACAAGTAAGCTGATGATATTCAAAAGAAAAAACTTTTTTCAAAAAAAAAAATTCAAGCAGAGCTCCATACCACAGTTTTCCTTTAAGTCAGCTGGCCGGCAGGCACAGTTTTCCGACCACCAGGAACAGAAACTTTGGCTCCAAGGCAAATGGAAGAAAAAAAAAAAAAGTATTTCCACTTACAACATGAAAATACAGAAACTTCATCAAAGAAAGAAAACTATCAAAAGAATTCTACTTCCGGCAAAACTGAGGTAGCGCTGCTTTCTCTGCATTCAATGCTTAAGTGGTTCTCAGTACAATGTGTTTAAACAAGTAACTGCTCACTTGGCTGGCAGGGGCAGCATTCTGATGGTAAACGCAACATGAAATGCAACAGGTCAAAGAAGGAATGAGCAAGAAGTGAGGGAAATAGGGGTTTCGGATAAATTAGCTTAAAAGGGGGTTGTCACCAGACTACAAACGCTCTCAGCTGGCCTTGGCTCTCCAAGAGCTTTAAATTGCCTGGGAATTAATGCAATGTGGTTAACAGTTAACACTGCTATTCAACTCTGCGTAAATCTTTAAAAATAATTATTACAACCTAAATTCAACCATGTAAACAGCACTACACACAGTACAGACCTGCCCTGAAAAACAGAATATGCAAAACTGAGATCTGGCACTGTATCATTTTGTAATGTTAATTCAACCTAACCGTCCCAGCCCCCCACCCTGTTCTACACCCTACCCCACCCACCCCCCGCAAAAAAAAAAAATCTAATTTGTGCAAGAAATGGCAGGCTTATCTATCTGAAGGCTTCAAAGAAAGATACACAACATGTAGCCAGGTTCAAATATTTTGGGGGACCCCCAATGAAAGAAATAACCAAAATAACCAAAAAATGAAGAAAGTGCCTAAAACATGATACAGCATTTTAGAGCCCTTTCAGATACAAGGCAGAGAAAGGTGTAAAGTAGAAAATATCTGGATCTTCTGTAATTTCCAGAAAGGTCCAATTCCTTGGGTGGCTGCAGGGCAGCTGGCAGATCCTTGCTGCTGCTCCTGGCTGGGAACCTCTAAGTCTGCTCCTCAGGACACAAGCCCTCGGGCCCTGAGCTGAACGCACCTCTTCCTTCCCCTTCTCTTTTCCTTCGCTCCATTTCCCACTCCACAAAGGTATCAAAGAGACTTGGCCAGGCCTCGTCTTCACTGTAGTTGCTGAGGTCAGGGCCAATCACCTGAGTGAAGTTAAGAAACATGTTCCAAGTATCCCGGGAGATGCCCTTGATCCCCGAGGGGTTCTCTGTTAGGAAGTGTAGCCACTGGTCCAATACGGGAGGATTGTTCTGGGTAAAGACTAGTTTCCACAGGGCAATGGCTATTTCCCGATGCAGCGACCGCTGCCCTTCTTCAGAATCCAGGCCAAACTGAAATGTAAACCGGTAGAGATCCTTGAATTTGTCCTCTTGTTTGGCTTCTATTAAGAGGCTGGGGAACCGTGCACAGATCCCATCAATGCTGTCTGCACTTATTGCTTTGCAGCCATCAAAAAACTCCTTCCTGCAACAGGAAGGAAGGGGGCACAATTAGTAATTATAACAACATCACTTAGTGAAAGGCAACAGTACAGTAATTAAGAGCATGGGTTTGGGGCAGGACAGCCTCAATTTGAATTCCAACTCCAGCACTAATTAGTCCTATTTCCTCATCTGTCAAATGGTGAGAATAATACTTCATAGGGTTTTAATAAGGACTAAACAAGTTAACATACGCTGACTGCTTCTAACAGTGCCTGGCACGTGGCAGGCAGCTGACTGATAATGGTTCATTCATTTATTCATTCATCCTTCCAGAATTGGGACTAAAAATTCTCCTGCTCCGGGCCCTGTTCCCAATTTGCAGTAGTGATTAAGCTACAGACTCTTTCTCCCCCCAGACAGGGAGTCTTCCTGCTTCCCTTCTGGTTCTTGATGGGTTGTTTATATGGAGTACATTTTTGGTGACGGTCAAGGCAGAGCTTTGGAGCCAGATTCTGGATGAACCGAGGGAACTCTACCACCCATCATCAAAATTCTGTTATCAAAAAAACAAAAACTGTATGTACTTTTAAAATCTGTAAAACACTTTCCAGCTTACAAAGTGGCTCACACTGACCATCTTCTCAGGGAGTGCTATCCCCGCTGAGAGATGAGGGTCTGAGGTGGAGAGGGTAACCTACCCAGGGGCACATAAACTAGAAATTGCACGGCTGGGTCTCAAAGTCAGTTCTTCTTATTCATAACCCAGTGCTCTACAAACCACACGGTGGTTGACCCTGCCCTGCCCTGCCCTCACACACCACCTCGACAGGGACGCAGGAGGATGCACACAACTACTTGATAACTGCGGTCGCTGTCCTCGTTGGCACACAGGCCCGGCTGAGGGCACTGTGCTAAGAACTAGAGGATGCCATGGGGCAACTGGCTTCATGGAGACACACAGGCGTATCCCCAGAGGCACTCACTGTAGTGGTACTCATAGTCCTGGCACGTGATAGGCATACAATAAATATCGGAAGAGTGAGTGGACTGGCAACTAAAGGAGTATAAGAAAAGTCTGAAATAGCAGTGAGGCTGGACAGCAGCTCAGCATGGGGCGCACTCTGGCTTATTCTTTACTTAACTTCAGGCAAAAATGGACCATGCCTTATTCAGACTGCCTGGTAATGCTGTGAAATGCCTGAAATCTGACCTACAAATTAGGCAAAGGCTTATTCTGTGACAAGGAACGTGGGGTACACATGAGAACGAGATATGATGCGTTGTCAAAACACAAACGCCTGGGCCTCCCCCTCCAAGATTCCTACTGAGGAGGTCTGCTGCACAGCCAGGTACACATTTGTTTGAAATTTATTTTTTTTTATTGTTGTAGTTTCAGTAAAAGTTTACATTTCAAGTTAGTCTCTCATATAAAAATTTATACATACCTTGTTATGTGATCCTAATGCTCTCCCTATACTGTGACAGCACACTCCTCCATTCCACCTGATTTCCCGTGTCCATTCAACCAGCTCCTGACCCTCTCTGCCTTCTCATCTCACCTCCGGACAGGAGCTGCCCATTTAGTCTCATGTATCTACTTGAGCTAAGAAGCACACTCTTCACGGGTATCATTTTATGTCCCACAGTCCAGTCCAATCTTTGTCCAAAAAGTTGGCCTCGGTAATTGTTTTAGTTCTGGACTGACAGAGAGTCTGGGGGCCATGCTTTCTGGGGTTCCTCCAGTCTCAGTCAGACCATTAAGTCTGGTCTTTTCACTAGAATTTGAGCTCTACACCCCACCTTTCTCCTGCTCCATCAGGGACTGTTGTGTTCGCCAGGTACACGTTTTTTAAAACCTTTAAGAGAGTCTCTGGATGAGAACCATAACAGCTCCAAAAATTTAAGCTTAAGAGAAACTGGTCAGAAAATGAAGACAGACTTACCCAACCCCCTATGAATCCAACCTGGTTACTTTCCTCCTTAGATCACCTGGTGACCTGAAATATTTGTGACTAACCTGGTGAACTTGCACATGGTAGCAGCCTGGAACTTCCAAGCCAAGAGCAGCACTCGAAATTCCGTGGGGTCGACACACAGGTCATTGCAAAAGCGCTCCATGCCTTCCTCCAAAATTGCATCCTCCCGCTCATCCTTGTAGCGCCTGAATAGTTCTTCCAACCTCTGCAAGGATGACTCCTCGGCATTGGACTTGGGCTCCCTCCCAGCATCTCCTGACGACGTTGGCAGCTGGCAGGCCTCAGTGGCAGCCTCCGCCTTCTTGGTCCCATTGACGAGGATATCCCCACCTGGCTTGCTGCAGGCTGGCGCCTGTTCCTCGCGGTGGCCTGCGCCACGCCTGCTGTGTGACTTGTTGCTGGAGTCACGGTCTCCATTCTTACTGCCCAGGGTTGATGAGGGATTCTTGCACTTGGTGACGCACTGGCCCATGGTGCTGGTGGCCTGGCCTCTAGAGCGGCCCCCTCGGGATCAGATGCCCTCGCTGCCGCTGGCCCATGTGCCTCAACATGCCATCAGCCAGAGGAGCCAGCCAACCTGGAGGAAAAGCAGAGAACAGTCACCTCTAGACAAGGGAGACAAGGTATGGACGCTACCGTCCTGGGACTGCCCACTAGTGCACCAGGGTTTTCAACGAGCCAGCAAAGCACAAAGGGAGATGCCCTGAGTGCCTGTCCATCATCCCTCCCTCATAAACCAGCTCTATACCTTCACCTTGAAAATGCAGTTTTCCAGTGCTAGGGCACACATGGAGAACTAATAAGGGAAATTCCTAAAATTCTTAAGGTAACATATGTTACAAAGAGGTTGATTCATGTGCAGAATGCATCAAGGGAAGACTACAGTTTTGCCAGGAAATGTTTCAGAGGAAATCTGTCTTGCCAACTTGCCATCACATAAGAAAGTTATTTGAACCTGGGTTGAGCCAGAAAGTGCAAATAAAAGGTTCATCTTCCAGTCCCTAATGTCGGAATTCCCAGATTTTCTTTTTAAGTAGGATGCGTAGGGAGAAGGGGATGGCCATAACCAAGACCGCTATATAGTTTCATGATGATCTAAAGCATTTGCAGGGTCAAAACTACAAGCCGGGCCCTAGCCAAAGAACAAAGGAGAATGTGCCTGATTTCTCCAAATTCCTTTCTGGGGCTATCCCATACACTGGGTGAAGTGCCCTACCCTGCCTTTCCTCCCCCCACTTTCAGAAGTCATCCACCGAGCCTGTGCTCCAAGCCAAGTATCCCAGTCTCTGAGCTTCTTTCCTTCTCTCCCTCAGGTCCTCAATGAGGCTGAACACAGTATGTAAGCCAGGCTCACACTACAAGTGAACCATCTACCTGCTCAGTCCTCAAGGGGGCAGCTCCACTTTAAAAGAAGGGCTGAAGTACCTAAATAGGATCTCTAAATGATACGATAATTGCTAGATGAAAAAGAAAAGTCTGTGCTGATACATAACAAACTCTTCACACTGCCTTATTAATGTACTACGTGTATAACTAAAGTGTTTTTTAAAGAATTGCTAGAAATTTCTGAGCTGGAAGTGAGGTGACTTCTCTAAGACTGTCTACTTGGGATCCTTATACTTCTCCCCTCAACTAGTCTGCTAGGAGATACATTTACAATTTAGTCCTTAACTTGTAAAATTTTGCCAGCTGATACAATAATAATTGTGTAGGTGCCCCGGTGGTTCAGTGGTAGAATTCTCGCCTTCCATAAGGACACCCAGGTTCCATTCCCGGCCAACGCACCCTATGCGCAGCATCACCCCTCCGTCAGTGAAGTCTTGTGTGTTGCTATGCTGCTGAACAGGTTTCAGCAGAGCTTCCAGACTAAGACAGACTACGAAGAAAGACCTGGCAATCTAATTCCAAAAATCAGTCAGTGAAAACCCTATGGATCACAACAGTTCGACCACAACTGATCATGGAGATAGCACAGAAACAGGAAGCATTTTGTTTCGTTGTGCCTGAGGTTGCCAAGGGTCAGGGGCCAACTCAGTGGAGTTAACAACAACAACATGATTGCAGCCACTGCAGTTACTATGCAACAGAAATTTGGACCAGGAGCAGAAGACGTATGGCAGGGAAAGCCAACCCCAGACCAAATCCAAGTCAGTCCCCATGTCTGACTCTAGGGAGCTTTCATGGAGGATCATGATCCAAATTAAAAGCTCATAGGGGGCTGGCAGTACGGTAAAAGAGTGCTTTTTATGAAATGCCAGAGCTTAAACAACATCATGATAAATGGAGAAAATACTAAAGTTGTCAAGCATTTAATTTTACTTGGATTCACAATGAACACCCATGGCAGGAGCAGTCAAGAAATCAAACGACGTATTGCAGTGGACAAATCTGCTGCAAAATACCTCTTTAAAGTGTTCAAAATCAAAGATGTCACCTTGAGGATAAAGGTGTACCTGACTCAAGCCATGGTATTTTCAATCACCTCATAGGCATGTGAAAGTTGGACAATGAATAAGGAAGACCAAAGAATTGATGGCTGTGAATTACAGTGTTGGTGAAGAAATACTGAATATACCATGGACTGCCAGAAGAACAAACAAATCTGTCTTGGAAGAAGTACAGCCAGAATGCTCCTCAGAAGCAAGGATGTACTCTGGACATGTTACCAGGAAGGACCAGTCCCTGGAGAAGGACATTATGCTTGGTAAAGAAGAGGGTCAGCGAAAAAGAGGAGGACCCTCAATAAGACAGGATGACACAGTGGCTGCAACAATGGGCTCAGGCATAACAACAATTGTGAGGTTGGTGCAGGACCGGGCAGTGTTTCATTCTGCTATGAGTCAGAACTGACTTGATGGCACCTAACAACAACAACAGAGCTTTAAACTATACCTGAAGAGCTTAGCTTTCTCCAAATAGTGCCTGGATAAATCTGGGGGAATCTTCAAATTGAATTTTCTCTAAGAGTAAGCTCTGAGTGTGCAACAAGCTTAAAATGAAGATCAAAACCATTCCTGTAGTTTTTGGAGACTATTCATATCAGGGTGTGTCCCGTTCTCCACTTTCGAAGAGAAGAAATGATAAAAAGAGATGTCCATACATGCCCTCGAAAGACTTGCAATTTCACTGAGGCTTCAAAAACACACCACAACCCTTGTAAGGTTTTTGTGTGGAAGATGACAGACCCAAACCAGGTTTTTTAAAAAGTCTTTTCTTGTTTTAAGAGCATAGCCAGTAAGCAAGAAACACAAATTGGTAAAATTTTAAAAGGCAAGGGGTTAGTTCTTGGAAGACCATCATACAGAAGTAGCAACTGTTCGAGCTGAATTGTCTCAAAACAAATAGGACTACACCATTTGGAGGGTCTGGTTTCCAGATTTGTGTTTTCAAGATTAGAGTGCTGAAAGAAACAAAAGGCCTAAACTTACACAAACCCCACATGCTCACAGACTGGCAACTCTGATTCCCAGGCACACTGACTCACCAGGGTTTGTTGCTCAGCTTCTGCTGCTGAGGGAGGTCCAGGTACCCAGCAAGATATGAGGATTTTCTGGCCACCATCTAACCCACCTACCCCAGGACACTCAGCCCCACCCCTACCGGACACATGCTTCGTTATGCCAGCTTCCTCCAAACCCTGGCGCCAAGGCCTTCAGGTAGGGACAGAACAGATGGGACTTCCAAAGAGGTTCTAATCTCATTTATCCAACTAGCCACCACAGACCAGCATCTCTGCTGATCTGACACAGCAGAACCAGCTGGAACCTGAAGGCTTTTAACATGCCCAGCAGATGAAAAACAGGAGAGGAAAACCAATTTAGACAGATAATCAATCAGCAAGCGCAGGAAGGTCGGGTCCCGTTCTTACATCCTGTCCTGGTCTGTGAAATGCCCCGCTCCAGTTGAGCTTTGAGGCGAGTGGTGGTCATTTCAGATCTGATGGTGAGTTCAGCTGTGTCCTCTGATTACCACCCAACAGCCTCCCTTCTTTTGTGTCTACCACTCCCTTTCTCTGGGAAAATACTTTCGGTCTCAGGGCTTTCCCCAGCTTGGGTCACAGTGCCCAGCCCTGTGTCCCAGGCTGGCAGCACTTCAAGTGTTTTAAATTGAAGGTCTCCATGGACCCACAACTGCTGGCTAATAGCTAATGATAGCAGTTATCAATTATTGAGCATTTGATATGGTGCCAGGTACTACACTAAGCAATTTACGTATATTAACTCATATATCCTCACCACAACCCCATATAAAGACAGGGAAACTGAGGCTCAGAGTAAAGTAAATTGTCTAACATCACAAATCAAACAGAGCCTGGATGTGTCTGACTCAAGAAACCATGACTTTTACTGCTAGGCTAGACTGCTGAGCCCACCTACAGCAGCGCTCCCAGGGTAAGTCCACTGAGGGCTGGGCCCCGAGTTCAGGAGTGACACCACAGCAATTCCAGAGCAGCAGGTCTTACCATCAGCCACTGGAAAGAGAGCAACACATGGTCTGTGCCCAGTGTGCCAGGAGGGAGTCCTCCCACTGCCCCACTGTCATCCAAGCAGGCATGATGCCCTTGAGATCAGCCCCACCAGATGGCCTAAATCTGTGAGAATTCAGCCCATCAGAATGGTTAAGAGCTCCAGCTCTGAAGTCAAAGCCCAACTCTGCCACAGGCTATTGTTCAACTCCATGGAAACCTGAATTTTCTCAATCTGTGAAATGGTCATCTGCCTCATACAGCTGTTGTGAGGATTCAGTGAGAATACACACTGCCTGACACACAGAAAACACTTGGGTGTATCATAGCTATTATTGTTAGCAACCGAGCAGTACCTGATTAGCGTGTTGGAAGCCCCAGCTGTTATCCCGTCTAAACAATGGGTTCCAGGCCTCGGCGTCCCCAGGCCAGCCAGGACTCTTACCCCTGGCTTGAGCCTTAGCTAGGATCCTGCTCAAAAACAGATCAGTCTCATAAAAAGACAACCTACAGACTGGGAGAAAAATCTTTGGGAACCACATACCTGAAAGGGTCTAATCTCTAAAATATATAGAAAACTTCAACAACTCAACAACAAAAAGACAAACAATCCAATTAAAAAATGGGCAAAAGAGCCACAATGAGATATCATCTCACCCCGGCATTACTGGCACAAATCAAAAAACAGGAAATAACAAATGTTGGAGAGCTGCGGGGAGGTCAGAACTCTTACGCACTACTGGTGGGAATGCAAAATGATACAACCATTTTGGAAAATGATACAACGCTTCTTTAGAAAGCAGAAATTAGAAATACCGTATGATCCAGCAATCCTACTCCGAGTAACATATCCTAGACAAATAAGAGTTGTCACACGAACAGGCATATGCACACCCATGTTCACTGCAGCATTGTTCACGATAGCAAAAAGATGGAAACAATCTAGATGCCCGTCAACAGATGAATGGATAAACAAACTATGGTACATACACAAAATGGAGTGTTACGCAACCATGAAGAACAGGATGAATCTTCGAAGCATCTCATAACGTGGATGAATCTGGAGGGCATTATGCTAAGTGAAATAAGTCAATCACAAAAGTACAAATATTGTATGAGACCACTACTATAAAAACTCATGAAAAAGGTTTACACACAAAAAGAAACAATCCTTAATGGTGATGAGGGAAGGGAGGAGTGGGGGTGGAAAAACACTATCAAACAGACAACAGATAAGTAGTAACTTTGGTGAAGGGTAAGACAG